AGTAGCACCCAGTGCCCAGAGCTGGCTTATTTATTCATAACAGGAAGAAATCACAGGTGTGTGTGTGTGTGTGTGTGTGTGTGTGTGTCTCTATAAGGGTATACTCTCCTCAGAGCCTTCTTTGTTCAGAATTTGCGGCAGACTATTAAAAAGCTCTTGTGTTCGGTCTTTGCTGGGGTCCTGCTCGCTATCTCAAGAGGAATCACAGATGCTTTTGCCTGTCTGGCCAGGCCTCCCTTAGTATGGCCAACCCCTCTGCAAGCCCCAGATGAGCACATGTGGTTTCCTGCCTCGTTTTGGATTTGTTTCCCTGGGTGATGGGCAGCAGCATGCTGTGGTGGACATGCGGCACGGGATCAGCAAATATGACATTGGACTTGGCATTTGGCAAATACTTGCTGAGTGTTGGCTGCATGCCTGACATTATGTTAGGGCAGGAAATAAAGATAAATAGAACTTGGGTCCTGACCTGAAGATGCTCTAACAGTATTGAATTTGTTGACATATTGATTCATTCACTCATTTGAATAGTATTGATCTAGCACGTACCATGTGCCTGGAGCTGAGCTTGGCACCAAGTCTACAATGGTGAACAAGACAAGGGGTCACTGTTGACATGATATATCCGGTCAACTCTTGCACCAGATCTTCCCAGCTGACCTTGAAGAACTCTTTTCCTCTCTGGGCCTCAGTTTTCCCCTTCTTTAAAAAGATGGAGGTCTTTGGATCTCTTTATCCTCGACATTGTTACGTTTGGCATTGTAAGTTTGTAACCCAGTCAGTTTTTCCGAAGTCCATTCTGGCCGACAGGGTGACGGAGGCTGTGACAGGCAGAATAATGCCTCCTCAACAAAGATGTCCATGTCCTGATCCACGGACCTGGAGGTCTCTTACTTGACATGGCAAAAGGGACTTTGCAGACATGATTAAGGGATCTTGAGAGGGAGAAATTGTTTTAGATTATCCAGTCCCACGGTGATTGTGAGGGTCCTTCTGAGGGGAGGCAGGAGGCCGAGAGCCAGAGAAGGAGATGTGACCACAGAAGCAGAGACAGCGAGAGAGGCTGAAGATGCTCCATCAAGGAATACAGAGGCTGCTGGAAGCTGGACAAGGCCAGGAAGCGGATTCTGCCCTAGAGCCTCTGGGAGGAACCCGACCTGCTGACACCTTAATTTTAGGACTTCTGGCCTCCAGAAATGAATGTGTGCTCATTTAAGACACAACATCTGTATTAATTTGTTACAGCAGTAATGGGAAACTAAAACAGAGGCCAGCCTTAAAAATCCTTTCCTGGCTCCTGGCTCCTGGCTCCTGAAATTTTCCAGGTCCTGTGTTAGCCATACAGTCCCTGGCCTTTAGCATGAGCTGACCAAGTGCTTGGGATATGAGGAGGTTGGACGAGGAAGTCATCGAGCAATCCTGAAGGACGTGGGGGAATTGGGATGGGCGATTTCCCAGAAAAATCTTCCTCTCTCCCAGAGTGCAAAATCTCCCAGAACAGCCTTGGCGACCGCTGCAGGGCCAGACTTTAGATGGTGCACCGCCCCCACCTCCCTCTCCACCTTCCCCCACAGGGCCGCCCACGTTGGGTTTCTCAATCCAGTAAAACTGTTTAAAAAAAAAAACAACTAAAAGAAAAGAAAAGAAAAACTACACAGGGAATTGTCATAGGTGCCCAACTTTTTATCTTGCCAAGTAGAATCGGGAGCAGAATCAACTCCCCTTGAACTGTTATTGTCCTTTCATGAAAGAGAGCAACCCTCAACACCCGCGCCCCCCCCCTCCCAAGCACACAGATCAGAGAATAAAGGGCGGTCCTTCCAACTGGAGTGCCTTTTATTCTCACGTTGCTCTGAATGGGAGAGAATGTGGTCAGCCTGGCACTGGTCCAGCATTGGGAGGCACTGGGGTGGGCCAACACCACTGATAGATCGTGATGGGGAGGGTGGGGGTGGGGGTGGAGTGGGCCCCCTCCCCTCAGTAGGAACCCACCCCCCAACTCAGAGCTGGGCCTGGGGAGGCTTCTCTGGGTTTGCAGGCAGTGAGCAGTCTGTGTTGATTCTTAAGCAGGTGTGATGTGAGCAAGACCAGGCACCACTGACAGGTAGATGGATCCCAGGCTGGAACATCTGGGGATGAGAACAGTTACAGAGTTACTGAATTTGCATCCAGAGTCTTCACAAACGCTCTTGTCTTTGACACAACAATTCTGCTTTTTGAGAGTGGATCCCCTGGAAACAGCTGAACTAGTGCTTAAATGCTGTCGATCTAAAGATGTTCTTAATAGCACGGTTCCTTATAAAAATTGGAAACAAAATGATATTGGGCAAGTCCATTATTGGACATTTATACAAAGGAAATACTTTGTAGCTATTAAAACATGATTTTGAACCAAGTATTTGACCTTCTGGAAAGATGCTCACAGTATGTTGTTCAGTGAAAAGAATCAGGTTAAAATTAGCATGTTATTTATACTTCAATAGAAATTCTGCTTAAAATAGTGTGCCTGCATGGTAAACGTACTTACATGTTTTAAAGTTTTGAAGGTTATATATAAAAATACAAATGACTCTCTCTGGTTGTAGAATTTCCTTCTTTTCCTGGATATCAGAAATTTCTACATACAGTTCACAGGGAACAGTTGTTGTGAGCTCAGTTTCTGGAGGTGTACTGCCCTCGGCTCATATCCCAGCTCTGCCACTTATTGGCTGTGTGTCCTTGGGCAAGTTCCTTAACCTCTCTAAGCCTCCATTTTCTCCTCTGTGAAATGTGGGTAAGCTTTGGACCTCCCAGGTGCCAGGGAGGAGTCAGTGAGCTAATAGGGAACCTCTCAGCAAAATGTCAGTATCATTGATGTCATTATTTTTTTAACGGTGAACACGTATTATCATGTAATAAAGAGATTACCAACGTTGAGTACAGATTTTGCTCTTCTCAGTCAAACTTGAATTTGAGGACCTCCTATCGGAGCAAGACTCTCTTTGCCTGCCAGGTGCGAGGTTGCCTGTTCACATTAGCAGGAGCAGCTCCCACTTACTGAGACTTTGCTCTGTGCCAAGCCCCATGCCAGGTGTTTCCCTCCCTGGCTTCACTGAATTCTCACAATGCTGGTACTCAGCTAGGAGAGATCGTGTTGTTATGTCCCTCGTTTTTACAGGTGGGGAAACTGAGGCTTGGGATAGTGAAGTAAGCTCCGAGAGGCCCTGTGGCTGGTGAAGGATGGAACCAGGATTCCCATCAGAGTTGAGGTCAAAAGTCAAGGGTGTGACTGAATTAGTTACTGCCCAAGTCAGAAAGAGGGAGGCCCTGGGAAAGGCTTGGGGAAGGCAGAGCAGGCGGAGAAGGGAGTGCTGGACAGGAAGAATAAATACGGAGCAGAACGGAGAGGCAGGGGCCTGCAGGGCGGGATTCTTCAAGTGGAAGGCAGAAGGCCAGACAATTCCATGGGCTTCCTTTTCTAAAAAGAACCAAGGTCTGCTGACTAGTTTTTTTGGAATTTTTTTAGGGTGACTGGAACTTAGAATTCTCGAACTAAAAATAGTCCATTACTAGAGTTCACCTAGCGCTCAAACTAAACATTTTCCTAAGTTTGCCCTCCATACCACCTTGCAAAAGTGCCTCAGTGCACACACGGCGAGGTGGAATTCTAGCCCCATTTTGGGGGCGCTGGTACCCATCTCATGTTAGCTGTGGCTTTCCATTCCTGCCATTAAAAAAAAAAGCTTTTCTTTAGGGAAAATTTCAAATATATACAAAGTACACAGAATAATATAATGAACCCTCATATACCCATCACCCAGCACCACGAAATACCAAAAAATATCTGCCATTCTTGTTTCATCCATACCTCCTCCCACCCTCCACCCCCTACTCAGCCATGATCACTTGTTACAGTTCTTTTTTTATGAGATACAATTTACATACATTGAAAAGCTCAAATCTTCCCTTTGCACTTCTGACAAACAGAACCACCCATGGAAACACCCTCCTCTCCCAATGCAGAACTTTCCTGCCTCCCTAGGCAGTTCCTTAGCATCTGCCTACCCACCAGACAATCTCTGGTCTCATTTTTTTCATCTCAGATGAATTCTGCATGCTGCAGAACTTTCTATAAAAGGAACCATATAGGCTGTGTTCTTTTGTGTCTGGCTTATTTGCAGCATTGTATCTGGGAGATTAATCCATGTGGTTGCCTGTCTTGGGAGTTTTTTCTGTTTTCTTGCCGAGTCGTATTTGATTATGTGAATATACCACAGTTTGTTTATTCTGTTCACCAGTGCACAGACATCTGGCTAGTTTCCAGTTCTGGGCTATTATGAGTAAAGCCGCTATGAACATTTGAGCATAAGTCTTGGTGTGGACATATGTTTTCATTTCTCTCGGGTAGAGACCTAGGACTGAGATGACCGGGTCACGTAGGAGGTGCGTGTTTAACTTTCCAGAAGTTTCCATTTGTCTTCCAAAGTGGCTGAGCCATTTTGCATTCCCACCACAGTGGACAGAAGTTGTGGCAACTGTTGTGTTTCCTGCCAACATTTGGAGTAGTCCACCTTGGTAACTTAGCTCTGCACTTTTTACATGAGCTGCTGTATGGATGGAGTTTCTGGAAGATTTTACTCTTGCTGATTAGTCAGGCTTTGGCTTCTGTCTCTTTATTTTCCCAGATTTCCTTTCCCACTGAGGGTGGGGTGGCTGGCATGGTAGAGGTGACGGCAGGGGAGTCATGGTCACCCAACATTGGGGGCTGTGGTTCTGGGGAGGAACTGGGATTTGCGTTCTGTCTCACCTCTGAAGCTCCGGGCTGATTTGGAGCAGGGCTGGGGCCAGGTGTCAGATCTGATCCTGGCAGGTCTGGAGGCTGCTCCCCTTTTGTGGGGCCTCTGAGACCTGGGCCTCAGCTCCCCACGCCACAGGTGGCACATGAGCTAACTGCTGCCCTGGCCCTGAAGGCCTGTGTCGGAGTAGCCCTAGCCCACTGGGCCTCTGTCTCTTCCCTACAGATATTGGCCCAGTGACCCTCACGTCGGACCCTGCCGTGTTTCAGAGGGAGCTGAGAGAGCTCTACGTGCAGGTGGGCTTCCCTGATCCCGGCGGCCAGCCCACTGGGACTTTCTCTCTAGTCCATGCCCGAAGCCAAGGTCTTTGCCCCACCCAGCGGCCAAGAGGGCAGCCTCCTGCAGCTGCTGTGACCTGCCTGCCTGCTTCCCAGAACGTGTGTTTATTTGGGGTCTATTTCAGGGCAGGTTACGGAAGAGCTCTGGGGAAGCAGCTTTGAACGCTTTCCTCTGCCCATGCCCACTCTCCTCCTGGCCCCCCCCCCACCGCTCTATCGTCCACGCCTTGCCTGACATGAAGTCTCTTTGGGGCATCTGGTAGATGTCCCAGGGCTCCCTCTTCCCCCCATGTGTCTCACTCATCACAGTGGTAATTAAACAATCATGTTGTGCATATTAGTATGGAGTCTGTCTCCCACCCCAGACGCCGTGGGAGGGACCATGCTGCTCTTGGCATGGGTGATGAGTGAGTGACCTGCTCGTCTGAAGTTGAAGCAGGTTGGCCACCATATGGTGTCTCAGGGAAGGGAGTGGCTGGGACCCTGGCCTGGCCCTCAGATGAGCAGCCAGGGGGCCTCCCACCGCCAGCTGGGTTTGGAGGGGTCCCCAGTGGGTCCCACCTACAGGAGGTGGATGGCAGCCGCTGACATGCCCCTGTCCCCCAGGGAGGCGGTGACTGCCCAGAGATGAGTATAGGGGCCATCAAAGCTGCTGTGGAGGTCTCCAACCCCGGCTCCTTCATCTACGTCTTCTCAGACGCGCGTGCCAAGGACTACCACCTGAAGGAGGAGGTGCTGCGGCTCCTGCAGCTTAAACAGGCACAGGTAAGCGGACCAGCCTTGGGGGGCTCGTGTGTGGGGCCCCAGGGGGCTCCAAGGAAGCCGGGGCCTCCAGTGCGAGCGAGGGTGGGAGCACTGCCTCCGTGGTCCCCGCCAGCCTCCGAGGCTGCAGCCCCAAGCTGGGCTGGTGATTCCAAGTGTGTTCTCATGCCCTGGGCCCCCCACCCTCCGGGCGCCCGCCTCCAGGCCAGGCTCACTCTTGATAAAGACCACACCACCCTCCGCCTTTCACACCCCGTCAACGCCTGCGCAGTCCGCCTTCTCCTGGCGTCTGCTCCCTGTCTCTGCGGTGCGTGTTGCCTTTTCCCTCTGTGTCAGGGTCTGGAAGACGCACTGGGGCCTTTGCTTCTTGCTTTTGCATTGAGGGATGGGGGAAGGGACGTGTATGGGGAAGGAAGGGCTGGCCTGTTTGACATCCTTGGGAGAAGACCTCAAGGGCTGGGACAGCTTCTCTGTTCTCCCGTCTAGAACAAATTCCTTCCTCCAGGTTTCTTGTCTGTGGCCGCCAGGGGCTGCTTGGTACCCCTCCCTTCCTGTAGACCCATTAACATCCCCCATTTATTGAGCACTACCTTATTTCTGGCCCTGTGCTGCGTTAGTCCCGACCCCCATGGTGTGGGTATTCCAGTCATTCCCCTTTTACAGATGTGTCACCTGAGCGCAGAGAGAGGGAAGGGCCTGCCCCAGGTCGCCCCTCCCTGGCTCCAGCCCCGGCACCTACACCTGAAGAAGGTGACCGGCGGGGACCGCGAGCCAGGCTTCCCGTCTCTCTTGCCAGGTGGTTTTCGTGCTGACGGGGGACTGTGACGACCGCACTCATCCCGGCTACCTGGCCTATGAGGAGATTGCTGCCACCAGCTCGGGGCAGATTTTCCACCTGGACAAGCAGCAGGTGACTGAGGTGAGCCTTCCCTGCTTCTCCTGCCTCTCTGGAGGCTGCCTGGTGGCTGGACAGCCATCAGAGATGAGCGTATCTATACCGAGGTGGGGGCAGGAAGCTCCGTGCTCGGTGCTGTGTGGCATCATCCCACCAAACCCTCCTGCCCACCTACCCACCTCAGAGGCAGGTGCTGCAGGTGTCCTGATTTTGCAGGTGAAGAGGCTGGGGCTTGAGGAGGCACTCTGGTTTTTAGCCCAGGCTCCACAGGTTGTCCAAGTTGGCAGGATGGACCTAGCAAAATTTGGCAGAAGTGGGGGTATGGTGGGGGGAACTTCTCCCCAGAGTCAGGGAACCGGGGTGTGGGTGGGGGAGCACAGGGCAGGGTTGGGGTGGATCAGGGGGTGGTCAGGGCATTCAGGCTGTGTTGCTGGGACAGAAAATCCTGCTTGGGGACTTGGCAGGGAGGGGCTTCCTTGGCCCCGTGCCAGGGTGCAGGGTTGCCAACGGTCTGCATTCACTCAGCCTGACGCTGACCGACTGTCTGCATCCTTCTGTGTTTGGACCAGCTTCCTGCCCTTCCCCACTCTAGGCTCCCTCGGCCACTCAGGGCTCTCCCTGCGTTACCCTCTGCCCTGCACATCCATCCCTCCTCAGGAGCCAGACGTGCTGTAAATGTTTCACAGCCATCTCCCTGGAAAGAACAGAATCACCCATTTCCATGGTGTAAATACCCCTATTTTGGCCGATTCCAGGGTGCTGTCATGAAGTCACCAAGCAGAGTTGGGAATTGATGCTCACAGATGACTTTCCTCAGCCTGTGTGAGCTGTTCCAGCATCCCACTGCATCCGTCTAAAACAAATCTGACCAGCAGGTCCCTCCCTGTTGTTCCCTGCAGAAGGTGCAGACCCCTGTCTGCCCCTGCCTCTCTGATCCCATCGCTGTGTTCTCCTCCTTGCCCACTGCTGCCGCCCTGCTGGCCCCTTTCCTATTTCATCAATGTCCTGTGTCTTTCCTACCCCAGGGCCTTTGCTCATGTGTTTTGTTTTTCCCACTCCTCCTCCCGGACTCCTTCTCATCCTCCTAGTCTTGCTGCAGTGTATCTCCGCAGGGAGACCTTCCCTGACTTCCCATTGAGAGTAAGTCTTTCATATCCTCTCCTAGCTCCCCCAGCTGCTTCACACAATTGCCACTTTACAGCTGTGTGATTATTTAATGCCACTAGGCTGTGCGCTCTGAGGGCTGGGCCCTTACGGGTCCCATTTACTATTGCGTCCGCAGCAACGAGTGGCCACTGGCTTGTAGCAGGTGGTCTGTAATAGCTGGTGAGTGGACAGACGTGGGGCCTGAGTCTGGGCCGGGCCCTGAGCCAGCCAGCCCTGCTGCTGCCCCCAGGGGCGGGTTTTGTGTGTTGTATGTTTATGGACTGAAGAGAATGGTCTCCAGGGCCATGTTTAGATTAGCGTGCCTTAACTGCCTGTTGACAGATGGCGTTTATGGTTCTCTGCGACACACTAGGCTTTAGTTTTTGGCATGTCAGCCTACTCTGGCCCCGAGCCACCCAAGTGAGGGTGGGAAGCATTTCAGAGCGGAGGGGTGGCCTGGCCTTGTTTTGGGTGAGATCTGTTTGGGCAATTGCATGAAAATGGGGTTCCTGCCAGGGGCAATTCAGGTGGCAGGGCAACTGAGCAAGTCGGTGGGAGATGGCTTGTCCGGGTGTGGGCTGGGCCCCTTGTTCTCTCCCTTGAGACAGGGACCCGGGGGCCCAACCACCAGCTCTGGGTGGCCAGCCCTGCTGGGGAAGCCTAGCTGGGCCATGTGGGTCTGGCCTGGAGGGACTGCAGGTGGCCGGGACTGGCTGCCTCTGGCCGGAACCCCCTCCTCAGGGAGCCCTTCCTTGACTTCCCATCGGATTAAGATCCTCTGCCTGGATCCCTCTCCTTCCTAGCCTTGTCATTCCAGATGTCCCCGGACATTGGGCAAGCCTGCAAAAGCGGCCAGGGCAGCCAGGCTGTGTTCCCTCCACCCGGGGATGGGGGCGGAGCCTCTGCGTGAGCCAGGGGGCCGCAGCTGGGAAAAGGACTCCCTGGGGGTTCCAGAGCCCCCAGACTGGGTGTGTGCAGCTAGTCCTCTTACCTTCCGAGGTCTGACAGTGTGGCAGGAGAGGCACCCCGGTCCTTGGTCCTCCCTTCGCTCATTGAGCACGTGCCACGTGCCACCGCAGCCTCAGGGGCACAGACCGCCCAGCAAGCTTAGGCCGTGTTTTGGTGCTTTTAGCTTCGTTCCCTTGTGGGGGTGACCCCTCTGGTTCCAGGGATCCCCTTTGTGGTTCCGGGGTAACTAAAGCAAGGTGAAGAGTGCCTCCCCCTGGCAGGATTAACCTGCAGCTTTTGCTGTCCTTCAACAGACAGGGGAGGCAGGAGACATGGTCCCTTGGGCTTGTCCCAGAGGTGTGTGTTTGGGGTCAAGACTTAGCTAGGTCCAGGGAACCCCTCACCCAACAACTTCCCACCGGCTTCTCCTGGCTCAGGCCCAGCTCAACGTATTGTCATCAGCCCCAACGACTGGGTCGGAATTTCTGGGCAAACCCTCTCATCCTGCAGCCTTCCTGGCCCCAGGAAGTCCTGTTCTGGGGGCTTGCATCCGTCCCCTGTCCAGCACCAGCAGGTACAGATATGGCAAATTGCCCAGACTCTGCATATCAGCCCTGGAAGAACTGCCTTCTCAGACAGTAAGTGGTGGAGTGGGGTCTGACCAAGTGGTTCCAGTTGATGGATCCGGAGGCAAGGCCCCAAATGACTTCTCCTGGACCCTCCCCAGAGGAGGGTCAGGGCCACATGCTGGCTCCACACCCCAGCCCTGGCACTTGCCCGCAGTGGGACCTTGAGCACTATACTTCACCTCTCCGGGCCTCCACGTCCTCCTGGGCTCAGGTGGGTGTGGGTGCCTCGCCTAGTGAGGCGGTGGGGACAGTGGGGACAGTGCATGGGGCACTGGGAAGCCCTGGGGAAGAGCTAGTGATGGCTATGACTCCAGACCCTGTGCTTTGGTGTGGAGCCCAGAAAACACCATCCTTCTCCAGCGAAGCCCCCTGAAGAGTCCGAGCTCTCTCTGGAACAGGTTCCCAGGAAGGGGGAGCCAGGGGTGAGTGCACAGCAGGGGCCAGCTGGCAGGGGCCAGAGCTTTCTCTCCACGACGCCCATGGAGCTTCCTGACATAGGCTCCAGAATCTGGCCCTCAGCTTTCTGATATGTGGCTCTGAAGCCCATGTGGCCCCCTGGCTTCCCTCTCTGCTTCCTCAGCTGCTCTGGCTGTCAGGTGGCCTGGGAGGAGCCACAGGGGGCTGATTCACCTGCTGTGAGTGGCCCAGTGGCCATCACCCGGCTGGGGTAGCAGTGCCACACCCTTTTATTCCTTCCCGTTGGTGACAGAGAGATGAGCTCTGAGACAGTGCTTGGCTCCCAGGCCCCTGGTCCTGCTGACATCTGGAAGTCATTGCCTTCACCGCATAAACACTGAGCTTGCTTGATGCCAAGCTCTGGGCTCGGAAGGCTCCCCAGATTCTGCTTTGAGCCCTGGGGGCGTTGCAGGGTCCAGAAGGCTTTGTCTCCAGCCCTGGGCCTGCAGGAGGGCTGGCCTTGCTCCAGGCAAGGGGGTCATCCCACCTTGCTTGGTGAGGTGCCTTCAGGGCAGGCCCCAAGTTCATGCCGCCTTTTGGTGGGGTCACTGGCATGCTCTCCTGTCTCAGCCTTGTCCGTGGTTCAGTAGCCTGAACTCCTGGGCATCTTCTCTCTGTCGAAACATCCTAGAGCAAGCTTGTAATGACAGTTTCAACACGGTAGTGGGTGTGACTGGTCTGGGTGATTGTCAGCTGGTGCGCCAACACCTCCTGGCAGCTTTGCTCAGATGTGATTTCCCCCTGACCCCTGACACGGCCTGGCCCTGGGGAAGAGGATGGTGCTCATAAAGCTGTTGCTTTGCTCTGGAGGAGTTGCCGCACTTCCTTGGCCAGCTTCTGTCCATCTCTCCAGCTGTGAACCTTGGCTGCTGCTTCCTTCCAGTCCACCCCCGCGTGGATGGAGAACCTTGTCCCCATTCCTTGGCAGAGACAGGTGGGACCTTTTCAAGAGAAACATTACTTCGAAAGCGAGGCAAAACAGAAGAATGAAGTAGCTGCAAGTATAAAAACAGATGGGTTTTCAGAACACAGAATTCCTATCTTGTAATAACTGAAATCTAGCTGTAAAATCCAGGCACATATGTTCCAATTCAGTCAGAACAAAACATACTCGTTTTCTAAATCTCAGGCAGTTCTTCTAATTCCCTTTTTCTTGCATGGAAGCTCAGCTGATAGGCAGAGCTGAAGGGCTGATTTAGAGCAAGGAGGGCCAATGTGTAGCATGCAACACACCACCTTCTTATCCCACGTCCAGGGCAGACATTACTAATCAATTACAGAACTTTTTCTAATTGAGGCTGAATGTGGCCTCACATTTCTTCAAACAGTATTCCAGGAAGCCAGTTCCAGCTGATTACAGTTGACAAGCAATAGGATACCACTATGGTTGCTCAGGTATATGTTAAAGTCATGGCATACTTGGTCTTTTTAAATGACTTTTACTTTTAAAAAATTATTCTGAAAAATCTCAAAGATATCGAAAAGTAAAAGAACATATGTAGCAACCAGATTCATTAGTTAACATTTTTTGCTCCCTCTGTTTCATTTATCTCTCCTACATTTTTTGTTGAATCATGACACCTTATCCATAAATAATTTGGCATGGAGTTTTTAGAAATACAGTTGCCAACATGACCCACCATATCATCTCATAAAATTAATACTATGTTGCTAGTATCATATTATGCTGAGCCCATTTTCAAATTTCCCTAATTGTCCTCAAAATGTTTTTTATAACAATTTTTTGTCAAATTGGGGTTTAATCAGGGGCAGTGCACTTCATTTGGTTTATGCCTATTGAGTCCCCTTAAATCTGGAGCAATCTACCCTTTTTTCCTGCCACTAATTTGTTGGAGAGACACCGATTACACAATGTCCCCTGTTCCGGATTCATCTGATTGTTTCCTTATGGTGTCATCAACTTGTTCCTTTACCCCCTATATTTCCCCAACACTGGAAGTTGGTGCTAAATGACTAATTAGAGGGGGGCCAGCATTTTTGGCAGGAATATTTCATAGTTGGTGATGTATTCATTTTCTGTTGCATCGTACCAAGAGGCGAACGATGTCTGAATGTCCTACTCTTACTGATAAGTCTGATGACTGAGTGAAGGTGGTGACAGCCAGCTCTCTGTATTATAGGACCATGTTTTTCTCTTTATGACTCAAGTGATCTATGGGGTAAGGCTGGGGCTCCACGTGGACATCCAGTTCCCCATCAACCTTTCATCTAATGGTTTTAGCATCCACTGAGGATGCTTGCTGAAACCATGATTTCATCAGGAGTTGCAAAATGATGACTTCCTCAGTGCATCATCTCTTCCACATTTATTAATAGACATTCTTCCATGAAAAGAGCTTTGGCTCTCAAAAGGGCTGATTTGGTTTCTCTGAAGCACCATTCTTATTGCATAGGCAAAGATCAAACTTAATTCTTGCTCTTTAAATAAGAAGTCACCCTCATCAGTGGCAAGTGTGGCTTTATTGTTTTGAATTTAGCTTTTCTTTTTTGAATATTATTATGGGCACATGGATTATGTAACTAAATGTGTTTCAATTGGTTTTAGTCATTAGTCTTTCAAGGGCTCAAGTTGTCCCAAATTTAGCTAATAGGTGCTTCTTTAAGCTGGTTCCTGTGCCCCTTGATATGTCCTCATTAGTCTTTGAGGACTTCCTTGCTTTATTGAGTTACCAGTTGTCCCAGGCTTACCATGTAAACTGCCTGCCCCAGACCTGGACTCAGCCATTTCTCCAAAGAACCCTACTAGGGAATGGTATTTAGAAACCACTGGATTCTACATTCACTTGGATGAATTTATATACACATAAAATACTTGCAGCCCTCTCTTACCCTTGGCTGTTAAGAGCAAATTTTGGTTCAGGAAACATCAACATCTTCTTTCTCCTACAAGATACATACAACAGTTTCACAATCACACTACAGACAGCTCCAGATTAAAAACTTTAAAACTACTAAATAAATATTCCTTTGCCATTCCTTTTGTTCTCAGGGTGCCTCCCACTAAGTAGGTGTGGCTGAACCCCTGAGTTCTCAGTTCACTTGGAACCGTTCTTTTCTCTCTGGGTCTACTGCACCAATTTGCTGTGTGGCCAGGACCACACTTCATTTTGCACAGGCTGCTTCTTGCAGTAACTTGACTTGGAAAGAAATGGTTCAGACTGCAGGGCCTCCTCCTCTCCCTCTTTCCTGGTTTTCTTACTGGAAATTGGGAGGCTTGGTTCTGGCAAAGGAGGAGCTGGGGTAGTGGGAGTGGAACTGAGTGAGACATCTGCGTCTGCGAGCTCAACGTGGTGGCCCTGCTCAGGAGGCGTGCGCTCTGCCGGATCACACCCAGTGAGCGCATGCTTCCTGAACTCCCAGCTCTGTGCCAGCCACTGGGCTTGGGGCACTGCAGGGGGTTTCTGCCCTCATGTGGCCCCCAGGCCAATAGGGGAGACAGGCATGGCACTAACCAGGAGTGAGTCAATGAAGAAGGGCCAGGGCATTTCTGCAAAGAGAATAGCATATGTGGTGGGGCTGCCTCGGGAGGCATGGCGGTCCAGCCTGGGGCGAGTCAGGGTCACGGTGACCTTGGGGTAGGTTGGATGGGTGAACCACAGAACATAGGGTCTGAAAGGCCATGGTAAGGATTTGGAGAAAGTAAATCATTTTATGCCCAACAAGATGCCACCTTAGACTGGATCCAGGCCTGTCAATGTGGGGCCTATGCATTCATGGGGGAGGCCTGAGGGAGTTTGAGAAACCCCTAAAATCACACTCTGAATGTTATTTAAGTGTGGCATTCTGGAGAGTATTTACCTTTCACCTGATTTTCAATGGGTCTTGTCCAAAATGTGTAGAATCAATAAGCAATTATAGAAATCAAGGATCAAAGACTCCTCAAAATTATGAAAAGGATTAGGAGCCTCTGTCTTAGCAGCAGATCTCTCAGGCCTGCTTAGAGGACATGGTACCCCAGTGAGCATGTGGTCTGAGGCCCCTTGGGGTGATGGTGAGCTGCACTGATCTGGGGGCAATTCTGGATCTCCAGGGTTCATCTGGGTGTAGGAGGCATCAGGAGGCCTTCCTGGAGGAAGTGCTGGGTGCCATAGAAGTCAGCCAGGTGAAGATGGAGGGACGCCCCTTCCCTCCCAGCGAGTCCTCTCGATACCTTACTTCAGGTGTCACAGCTCTGAGCACACCAGGAGGGTGATGGCACATGAATTAGGCCTGGTGTAGGGCAGTGCGGAGTGGGGTGTCTTCAGGCGGCTTGGGGAACCCACGGGGTCCAGATTCTGAACACAGCTAGCTGCCTGTTGGGTACCCACGTCGCCTCTGGCGGGCCTGACATACCTAAGACATTGTGGGCACCCGCTGCCATCAGCTTCTCACACCTGCTTCCCAGGTGCTGAACTGGGTGGAGTCAGCAATCCAGGCCTCTAAGGTGCACCTGCTGTCCACGGACCATGAGGAGGAGGGTGAGCACACGTGGAGGATCCCCTTTGACCCCAGCCTGAAGGAGGTCACCATCTCCCTGAGTGGCCCAGGGCCTGAGATCGAAGTCCGAGACCCGCTGGGTATGTGTATCCCAGGGCTGGCCTCCTCTTTGGCCGCAAAACTGGGCTGGGGGTCTGGGATGGGACAGAGAGAGAGACCTGGGGTGGCAGGGGTTTGGACACAAGGCTCCTGGAGCACGGAGGGTGGAGGGTGCCAAGTGGGGTGCTGAGAGGGTGCCCTGGAGGGTGAGGAAGCCAGGAGGCCATTAGCAGCCAAATGGGGGGAATTAACAAGGAATCAGTTCCCTGGGAATCGAGGCTCACGGGGAGTCTTCGCAAGTTCCCTCAGTGGGTGCCTACAGTGGCCTGGAGGGTCGGCGGGGCAAGAATTAGTGGCACACCATAGACGGGGGAAGCTGGGGCTCTGGGAGGTGGAGTGACTTGACAGGGTCTCCCAGGGCTAGTGTGATTTGGGCCCAGCCACCTGGCCCCGTGGTGCTCCGAGGATGTCCTGAGTACTCAGGTCTAGAGTCCAGGTGCACAGCCTGCACCTGTGGAGGGATGAGGAGGGAGGGGTGCAGAATGAGGGGGAGGCCCGAGCATCACCAAGGCTTCTTGTCAGTCCCTCTGGGAAGCCTCAGGCTGGTGTTCGGAGGGCTGTGTGTCCCTGAGGACAGGATGGGACCTCTGTCACCCCCAGGAAAGGGTCGGTGACTGAGCAGTCCTTGGGGCTTCCACAGGGAGGATCCTGCAGAAGGACGAGGGCCTCAGTGTTCTCCTCAACATCCCTGACTCAGCCAAGGTCGTGGCCTTTAAGCCTGAGCATCCGGGGCTCTGGTCCATCAAGGTAAGGGGCGCTGGGTTCCCGGTGGCAGGGAGAGCAGCCTCACCGAGCTGAGACAGTATCTCCGTCCTGCGCCGGGGAGCCTGGGGCCCTGGGAACTGAAGGCTGGAGCACGGGTGGTGAGGTGGACATAGCATTAGGGGCAAAGAGTCAAGAACAGAGGGGGACTCTTCCACAAGGAAGTAGAGTGTTTGGGGTTAGTTAGGAAGTTTGAGGGACTTGGATAAATGCCTTGAATTTCAGAGGTGGGTAACTGAGCCAGCTTGTGGTTGGACCCTGGCCTGTGCAGAGTGTACAAAAGAAGCAAGGATGACCTTGGGGATGCCTCAGGGCAGCGGGCCTGGCAGGGGGAATGGGCCTGCTCTGATCTGCAGGGTGCTGGGGGCCAGGGCTGGGGTGCGGCAGGCTTGCTGTCCGGGACGGAGTTCCTGCTGGCTGGGCAGACATCTGTGGAGCACCAGCCGGGGGCCAGGAGCCCTGCTAGGTGCTGCTGGTAAGGTGGCAGCATCGACTCCTGTCCTTCAAACTCGGAGCATCTTTGAACCAGGCACTCTAATGCCGGTGGGGAAGACAAGGCAGGGATTTAGATGTGCAGGGAGACAGATAGGGCCTGTGGGTGTGGGAGTTGCTGGAAAGGCAGGCAGCGTCAAGAGTCATGGCATAGCTGAGGCTCCTTCCCCTTCATTTGGGGAGCATCCTGCAGGACCCCCGGAAGCAGGTAAGTTGTCCATGTGTCTGCAAAGGCAGGAGAATTCCAGCTGCTGTCAGCACGCTGGGCCAGGTTGGCCACCTTCTGTGCTGGAGCAGGGGTGCTGGGGCGGACACCCCATGACATGGTCTGGGCCTGTGCAGATCTACAGCAGCGGCCGCCACTCGGTGAGGATCACAGGCATCAGCAACATTGACTTCCGAGCTGGCTTCTCCACTCAGCCCTCCCTGGACCTCAACCACACCATCGAGTGGCCCCTGCAAGGTATAGTGCTCCTGGCCCTGGGCCATATGGAGCTGCCCTCTGAAGAACTGGGGCCAGCCCTTGGGAGGCGCAGTGGAGCTCTGGGGCAGGCTGTGAGGGTGTGACTATGGGACCGGCCCTGCAGAGGCGGGGCTGGTCCATTGTCTCATATCACAGTGAACTGCGCCTCAGGGCCAGCGCCCTCTCCATGGACCCCAGGCCAGATGACACTGTGACCCTTTACCTTTAGAAAATCCTCCCTGCACCCAAGGCCTCCAGGACCTATGTTGTCCGCCTCACTACTGAGGTGACACCCTTCCCCTTTCTCTTTCTCCCAAGTCCTCTGTGTAGAGCCACGCCTCCTCAGTTCTCCTGTGAACATCAGGCTAGGCCAGTGAACTCATAGGTGCCAGTGAGTTGTTAGCTCACCCAGACAGGAGAACCAAAGGGATGGCGGTCCTGAGGGACGTTTAGGTGCCCTGGAGGCTGATGGCGTCAGTAGCCTGGGGGGATGTTGAAGTTGGAGGCACAGGGTCCGTTTTCCCATGAGCAGCCACCTGCTGGGGTCTGAGGTGGCCTGTGTGCCCCACCACGGTTCCATCTGGAGAAAACTGGGCCCCGGGGCAGCCAGGGGCTTCTGGCTCAGGTTGCCAGAGCTCCATCTGGTGTCCAGATCAAGGGTCCCAATTTACAGTTTGGGTAACGTGGTCCCTCGCCTTCAGGCCATTCAGAGCATTTTTTGCTGGGACCAGCGTAGGAGAGAAATGGGGAAGGGCCTGGACCAGGCCAGGCTGCCTCTGGAGCACTGAGTAGTGGCCGGAAACGGTGCGTGCTGGACCCTGAGTACTTTCCCTCACGTCTGTCACTCTTGTCAGCGCCTGCTGGTTCCCTGCCAGGACCAGCGCTGGTATCTTCCAAGCTGAAAGGGGGCGGCCTGTCCATTCTGAGTCTGTTTTTGTGATGCAGAACAGGGGAGAGGCAGGGAACTTAGTCCCATTCTAAAGCGAGGAGAGAAAATAAATCCTAAGTGGAGTTCTGGAGCAAGGACTGAAAATAAACGGCCTGCAGGGCCAGTCCCCAGGGGTCAAGGGTGAAGGGGCCACATAGGACCCTCTTGGGTTTGTGCCTTTGATAAACATGTGGGCTCAATACATTTTTTTTTTAAAGAGAAAGCAAAGCAGGGCAATTGCAAATGATAAAGAGTGATCAGCACCTGGCCTCTGTGCAGGGACGTCAGGGAGCTGGGGAGGCTGTGGCTGGCCAGACAGCGGATGCCCAGGCTACGGGGAGCAGCCGCCACACTCTGACTTCTGCAATGTGGGAAAGGGGCCCAGCATTGACACACTTGATTCTTCAAAGGAATCTGGACTTCTAGATTTTAATATGCCCTTTCCAGATTGTTTGATGTTTCTACAAAAATTTTAAGGCATCTCACGGATCACACCAACCATACACTCAATTTATGGCCCCCAATTTATGACCTCTGAGAGAAGAAAACTAATAACTGTTTGAACAGGGAGAGGTCTGACAGAAGTTCCTAAATCCATGAAGGAAATTACAGAACCTGAGTTCTTTTCTGGGATAATGTGAATAATTTATTTCTAAGAAGATAGAAAAGAAAATCAAAGGAAAGCTGAGCATGGGGAGAGGAGGGGCAAGAGAGAGAGTTCCCAGCCTGGGATGCGTATGTCCCCTGGGCCCGTCCCAGAGCCGGCCGATGACAGGCAGCCCCAGAGGGTGTGGGGTGGGGGTGTGGAGAGGAATGAACCTTCCCATGACAGCCAGAGTCTGAGCAGGGGGAGTGGTGCAGCCTTGGGAAGCCGTGCTGGATGGACAGTGGAGTTTCAGGACCATGGACAGCAGCAGCACCCCCTCCCCCACCGTTAGCCCGGGAAAGAGGCAAGGGGGCACCACGCAGCCTGGGTCAGTCCCTGACAGTGCTCCTAGGGGCCTGCTTGGGGAGGGTCATGGGGTCCAGCACAGATGCCAGCACCGCCTTCCTCACCCTTTCCTCTGCAGGGATACCCATCTCCCTGGTGATCAATTCCACGGGCCTGCAGGCACCTGGGTCCCTGGATTCTGTGGAGCTCTCACACGAGTCAGGGCAGCCCCTCCAGACTCTGCCCATATGGCCCCTCTCCAATGGGTCCATGCATCAGCTGTGGGGTGGGCCACCCTTCTACGCCCCCCAGGAACGCTTCTACCTCAAGGTGAAGGGCAAGGACCACGAGGGGAATCTGCTCCTCCGTGTCTCCGGAGTTTCCTACAGTGGGGTGGCCCCAGGTGAGTGACTGACTCTTACCACCCCCAGCTCCCTGGGTTACTTGATGAACCATTTCTTCCTTGAAGCCTTCCATGATTAGATTAGATTAAGCAATGTTCATTAAACTTAAAAAAAATTAAAATTAAGCAAACTCTGGAAAGCATTATGCCAAAGCTTGAGGTGCTTCAGATGTACCCTCAGCACAAGGATTTAGGATGAAGTCCACCCATCATCCATCCATCCACACATGCACACATGTATCCATCTAAACATCCATCCATCCACTCACCTACTCATCCACTTAACTATCTACCCATCAGTTCACCCACACATCTATCCACCCACCCATTCATTGATCCAAACCTCCCTCCCTCCACCCACCTATCTATCCACCAGATCACCCACTCACCCACCCACCTGCTGCCTCACCCACCTGCTCATCCATCCATCTGCCCACCCATGCATGCATCCATCCAAATGTCCATCCAGCATTCGTTTGGGGTCAGTCGTGCTGCTGGGCACTGTAGATATAGCAGTGGGCAGGGCAGTGCATAATAGTAATCTAGTCACCATTCTGAGCGTTTACCATGGAGCAGTCCTGGGCCAAGCACTTACCGTGCACCAGTTTACTGAATGCTTATACCACGTCTGAGATGTGTTCCCGTTTTATAAATGAAGAAGCCGGGCCACCCCCATCTCACAGGGTTGTTCTGGGGATTCCATGAGCCAGTGCATATAAGGAGACAGCTCTCAGGGGCCCCGAGGCTGCACCCAGGCCTGTAGCAGCTGCTGGCACTGTTACATCACTGTAGGCACAGGTCATTTCTGCGGTCCTGTCTTTGTCCATGTTGTCTTGGTTCGCATGTTGCGAACACATGTTGTGTGTGGCTGTTTGCTAGTTTCCGGTGTGTCCCCGAGGTCTCACACCCAGGCCAGAAGCTCCCAGAGGGCAGGTGGAGTCTCTGGCTTTCTAGCTTTGCCTCTGGTCCTGGCAGGGGGTGTCTGAGGTCACTGGCCATTGGCCTCCTCATTGGGCTCGTTGTGGCCTGTGCAGTGGCCTGGGAGGAGTTCCCAGAAGTGGACATTGCTGACATCCCAACATGGTTTTGGTGGGGTCTCGGGAGGCACAGACTCCTCTGTCCATGTCAGTAGGAATGCATGGGGGCACCAAGGTGCCCATAGTGAGGTGGGTGACTTGAGGGCCTGATGGCCCAGGGCAAGGCAGGCTGGGGAGCCTGGGGTCCTCTCTCTGCCTCCTGGCCCCCACTCCTTTGCTGTGGTCGCTGGGCCCCTCCCCCCTTGGCTTTGTAGGTTTGAGGAGCGATTTCAGGAAGGGGTTTCAGCAGGGAGATGACAGCCCTTGTTTCTCTCTGCCCTGTTCTGTCAGATAGACCCACTCCATGAGTTTGGGGTGTAGCTCTGGCCTTTGGTTTCTGACTTGGCTCTAGATTAAAGTGCGGGTGCTGGTGGGGTGGGGGGAGGGAGGAGTGGGATTTCTGCTTCCTCTCCCCACTTCCAGGTCTGGGAGCTGGGAGTCTGGTTTAGAGTAGGAGGCTCTGGATTTGGAGACAGAAGTGGGTGGTAAGGGAGGGTCTTGGGTCCCTGGGTGCATTCAGCTCATGGAACAGGGAGCCGAGCTGGCCTTGAGGAGGCTTCCAGTGTGTGGGGGTGAGCAGGGGCAGCTCTGCCCACAGCTGAGGACATGGCTGGATGGTCCGACGTCCCTCTCCCCTGGGATGTGGCAGGGAGCCTGCAGCATGACGTCCCCCGCCCCCAGCTCTGTGCTCGGAGGAGGTCTGGCGCATTGTCTCACTCTCGGAGCGTCTCTGGTGGGGATGGGAGAGAGGGCAGCCCCCAGATCGAGCGCACACCCGTGGTCACCCAGTGAGACACTGATGTGCCGCGAATGACCCCTTGGGGGGCTTTTCCGTTGAGATAATTCCAATCGCTCTTTCCAAGGAAAGAGAATGTGTCACCCTAGTGCCAGGGTCAGGCGAGGGGGGCAGTGGTGTCTGATGGGGGCCCTCTGGGGCTCATCACAAGCTCTGAGATTTCATTGAAGTCTCTTATTTTATCTGAAAAATGCATGTGAATTCTGCATTCACAGCCATGCTCCAAGTATGCTTATTTTTAAAAAAGAAAGGCTTCTCTCCAACATCTTTGAGTAAAGCTGACTCCATGCAGAAGAGTAATTGCACAGCCCCACCCGCACCCTGGAGAGTCAGGTCTGGGGAACATTTCATCAGATTTCAGAACTGGTCCAACTTCTCTGTCCCATATAATTGATAAAGTGGTAGCACAGACTGGTCCCTCGTGGCCAGTGTTCCCGTAAGCCTTAATTGAGGGAGCCGGCCACACCATGTGCATGTGCAAGTGCTTTCCACACGCCGCCTCGCACCAACTCCTCAGACACCATGATTAGCCCCATTTTACAGAGCGGGAACTGAGGCCTCGGTGAGATGCCCAGCCCTTGGAGCCCACTGGGTGGTGGGCCGGGGATTGAATCACAGCCTTCTGGCTCCGGGCTCATCCATGTGGGCCTCTGTTGCTGGGTGCGGTGAGGGCAGGCTGCAGGGGGCTGCAGGGGGCGGCAGGGAGGAATCCTGAGTTCCGGTCCTTGGCCACAGGTGCTCCCCTGGTCAGCATGCCCCCCAGAATCCACGGCTACCTGCACCAGTCCCTGCTGGTCTCCTGCTCCGTGCACAGTGCCCTCCCCTTCCGGCTACAGCTGTGGCGGGACGGAGCCAGGCTGGGCGAGGAGAGGCACTTTCGGTGAGTGGACAATGGCTGGCCCATTGTGCCCAGCCCCAGGGCTCCTGGGGTCCTGAAGCCCTGGAGGGATCTGAGGGGTGGGTGGCAGGAGAGGGACCTTTGTCTCAGTCACTTACCCATCCAGGCACCTCCCAGGGTGGCCAGTGAGCAGGGAGCGTCTCTGCTGCTGGGCTAACACACTGTGAAGGAGCTGCGGGCCTTCCTCAGCTCCCAGAAAACTTAACCCATGCAGGGCCCAGTTCCATGGGGTTCAGGGCAGGACAGACCCTCTGAGACCCTCCCTCTTACGGATGGAAGTCTAAGCCTCAGCGAGGGGAAGGGACTCACTCAAAGTCACACAGCGTGTCATGGAATTTGCGTGTCCTTGGCTGGCTGCCTCTTCTTATCGTGTCCAAGAGGATCTGGGGCCTCTCCTCTGGGCAAGATTCAGGGAACCAAGCCCCCTAAAGGCCAGATAAGGATGGGGGACCCCAACTGGGTTCAGGGTGATTGCGTGTCTCCTGCTGTTCTGTGTTCTCAGGGAGTCAGGAAACAGCAGCTGGGAGATCCCACGGGCCTCCAAGGCCGAGGCCGGTGCGTACGAGTGCACGGCAGTCAGCAGGGCCGGGGCCGGGCGAGCCAAGGCCCAGATCGTCGTCACAGGTCTGTCTCTGTGGGCCCCTCTGTGGGTCTGCTCCCCACCCCTTTCGTGCTCTTTCCCCACAGGATTTCCTCCCAGGGTGTCTTCATCTGCAGGGAGCTCACCAGCCAGCCAGCTGCTGGGCACTGTCGATCATCTGGTCTGGCCGTGCACACTGCCACCCGCCCCACTGGGGCTGTCCCACCCAGGAATGGCCTGTGGGTCTCAGAAGAGGAAGGCTGAGAACCCCAGCTGGGGCCGCGGCCGCCCCCCATTCAGCCTCAGTCTCTCCCTTGATTTCTTGGTTTGTTTGGCGTCCCTGTCCCTTAATGCCTCCAGGTCCCCACCAGGGTGGCACCATCGAGCTCAGGAAGGTCGGAAAAGCCACAGACTATCTTGAAATGAAATTGGCTTTATTTTTTATTTTTTAAGTTAGGAATTCTGAGCTCTCTTGAAGAGAAGAAAAGTTGACCAAGGAGCATAGAAAGATGAGTCCTACGCAGTCACATGTGCTCCTCGTAGGAAGACTGGGAAAATAGAAACAGGCAAAAGGCTCAAATCCTTTCAGCCTAGAGACGACCTTGAGGGCATTCTGATTGACTCCCTTTCAGACCTGTACCTGTGCGTGCGTTTTAACAAAAATGGGGTAATATTTTACATGCTTACAACCACTGATTCTTTGTCATCTAACTGTACAGCATGGCAGCAAATAGGCTTCTATGGCACAAATTAACAAAATTTTCCTTTTTGTAAATGATGAGTACAGAGAAGTGTAAGGAAATTTGCACACCCATTACTTAAGACTCATCAATCGCTAAAATTTGGCCATTTTTGCTTTTTCTCTGTTTGGATAAACTATTTTTAAATTGAAGGCATCCTGATAGTTCAGTATGTATCTCTTTAAAAAAAGTAGATTTTCCTACATAATACAGATTCTAGGGACACGCCTGATCAAAGACACAGGAATACCTTAATGCTACTTAATTTTGCCTAGTGTCAAATTTCCCTGTTGGCCCCAGAATGTCATTTCCCGTTGGTTTCTGGTATTGTTTTCAGTGTCCGCGCAGTTCAGGCGCTCTTTGTGAGCACACGTATGCTTGGACATCACGGTCATTGACATGCATGGCTTGTGTGGACCCAGCCCTTTTCCTATAGGTTTCAAGCCCACGTCTTTGCTTAGATGGTCTCTGATCCTTCACGACTCATCACTTTTTCCTACTGGGAGAGTGGCTTTCTTAGCTCTTCCGTCCTTGGGCCTTTGTTCTACATTTTGGCTGTGGCAGTAGCTCTGCTATTTGTACAGAGAATAGCTTTGTATTTGTTGCTCTTTCCCTCTTGAGGGTTATTTCCAAGGCTTTACTCCCCAGGGTGGAATTATTGGCTCAAAGGGTGTGAAGAGCAATACAGCTCCTGTTAAACATTGCGGCTGGCTGTTGTGTGGAAAATGCACACACACGCCATGCAGCCCTTGGCGGGAGGATGATGGCAGTGGGGAAATGAGCCCTCTGTGGGGGTGACACCTGGGGATGGTGAGCAGGTGCTGCTATCTGCTCTGCTGGCCAGCGTGTCCTGAGGGATGCAGTGTGAGCCTCTGGAGCCAGGACCCCACCAGGGCCTGCAGGATGGCCCTCCTGTGCTCATGTCCCTGCAGACCCTCCACCCCAGCTGGTCCCCGCTGCCAACGTGACTGTGTCTCCGGGGGAGACTGCCATCCTGTCCTGCCGGGTACTGAGTGAGGTCCCCTACAACCTGACGTGGATCCGGGACTGGCGAGTCCTATCGTCCTCGACGGGCAGAGTCACCCAGCTGGCCGACCTGTCCCTGGAGGTCAGTGGCATCATCCCCAGTGACAGCGGGCGGTACCAGTGCATGGCCAGCAATGCCAACGGAGTCACCAGGGCGTCCGTCTGGCTCCTGGTGCGAGGTGAGGCTCCTCCTGTCACTGCTGTCCTGTCGATTCAACACACTACCCAGCATTTGCCCCGGAAGCCCATCCCACCATCCCTCAGCCCAGATGTCGCCTCCAGGCAGCAGTACCGGGCCTTTCAGTGTTGCCTTCAGAGAAAGGATCCTGGGCCCTCCCAGCCTTAGGCCAGGGGGTCTCAGTGTTGGGAAGTTCACCCTACTATCTGACATAAATTTCTACTGCTGGGAGCCACGCCAGTTTCATTGTGTCCTGCTCTTTTCTCATGTCATCGAGCACCTGCATTGTCCACCCCCAGTGTGTAGGACAGGGACAGAATACTGGAAACTCCTGAAGGCCCAGAGATCAGACGTGCTTGGCAGGGGTTGGGCAGCGCTGACCCGACAGAGGTAGGGGAGGCGGTAGGAAGAGGGCCTGTCTGGGAGTTCTAGGACCTGATGGGGCCTCTGGCCCTCCCAGGACTTAGATAGAGCCTCCTTCCAGGGGAGGCTGCTTCCCCAGGTGTGGAACAAGTGTTCTCTCTCGTGCGTGCCAGCAACTCTTGCTTGGTTGCCTGGAATGTGTTGAGAAGGATTCTGAGGCCCTATCTAGGCTCTGCCATACCTATTAGCTTTGCCTGCCACTGGTACGGGAGGGATGGGTTTGCCATTTCAAGATGAGCTTGTGAGCGAGGCCTGTTTGAACCAGACAAGTCTGTTGTACTGTGGGTTTTCTGAGGGCCAGGATGGAACTTAAATTTGGGGCCAATACTTGGGCAGGCCTTGGGGTCCACTCTAGGTCCCTGGAGATAAGGACCATCTGCAGCCCTGACATCTGCCCTTTCTCCCTAAGCCTCTCTGAGGTGCTCAGCCCAGAGCAGAACTCCAGGGAGCATGAGGCTGCTGTTGGGGGCCATTGGGAAATCAGCTCCTGCTGTGGCCCAGGCAGCTACTGGTCAACCCCAGCTCCCCAGGAAGTCACTCCTGGGGACTCGGGCCCCTGGGGCCTTTTCTTCCTTTGTCTCGCCCATCCGGGGCTTTGGGGATGGGGAGGGCTGTGGGGCCGAGCACCTGGGACCACATGGGCCTTTTGCATTGCAGAGGCTCCGCAGATTGGCATCCACACCAGGTCCCAGCGCTTCTCCCAGGGCACAGAGGTGAGAGTCAGCTGCTCAGCCTCGGGGTACCCCACGCCCCACATCTCCTGGAGCCGTGAGGGCCACGCCCTGCAGGAGGACAGCAGGTGAGGGCCCAGGCAGGGGGTCTAGGAGCAGGTGGGCAAGCACTCCCAGGGGCCTCAGTCTCCTCACCTGTGGAGGGTGGGGAGGGGTAGCATTTGCCCTGCCTTCTTCCTGACATCATTTGAGACCCAGGAGCAAGATATTTTAGAACATGATGATGCCCCAGTGTGAGCTCAGGGGGCAGGAACTCCAGCTCCAGAATCCAACAGACCTGTGCCTAAATGCTGCCTCGGCCGTTCAGGCTGTGTGACCTGGGGCAAGCTGCGTTACCCCTCTGAGCCTCATGAATTAAAAAAGACAAATCAGTGTAAAGAGCTGAGCACCTAGCTCAACACAGAGCAAGCAGGCAGTGTAGAAGGGTGATGTTATTCCATTAATTAGTAATTAGTAAGTAGTGATGTTATTAGTTATTGATGACTGGAGCGATCCTTGTGTGACCTGATCTAACCCTTGCTATTGAACATATTGTTTTGTGGCGCGGCTCCAGAATCCGTGTGGATGCCCAGGGAACCCTGATCATTCAGGAAGTGGCCCCAGAGGATGCTGGGAATTACACCTGCCAGGCTGCTAATGAGGTTGGCACAGACGAGGAGATGGTCACCCTCTACTATACAGGTACTTGGGCCACCAGCATCTCAGGAGAGGGACCTCCTCCCTTCCTCCCTCCCATCCACAAATACTTATTGAGCATCTGCTGCGTGGCAGGCACTGGGGAGGCAGCAGGGACCACATGGTTCCTATCCAGGTGGGGCTTGTATTCTAAAAGAGGCACAAAGCAAACAAGCCAACAGATAAATAGGACGCTTTTGGCGGTGAGGACACTGGGAAGAGCACGGGGCAGGGTGGGTGGAGTGACGTGCACGCGGGGCCGAGAGGGCTGTTGCACACCTGACCGACCAGCCAGGGCTTCCGCGAGGAGGTGGCTCTTGCTGCAGGCGGGAAGGGGAACGGTGTTGCAGGCAGAGGGGAATGGTGGGGCAAATAGCTGCTCAGGAGGCTGAGGAGAGGGTGGTGTAGTGTGAGTGGGGTGGGGTGGGTGGACCAGGCAGGGCATTTAGGGACCTTGTTGGATTTCAGCTTTTATGGCAAGTTCAATGGGAAACAATAGGGGTGTTTGGTCCCCAGAGTGACTGGCTTGAATTTGATGTCCTGGGTAGGAAGCATTGTAGAAACCAGCATGGCTAGACCCTTCTGGGGTGACAGTACCTGGTTGGTGTGGGTGGAGAGGAAGCAGGGTCCTTCCCTGTCCCCGTGGCCCTGCCCCTGCTGTGGAAAGCCGCCTCCTTGCTCTGGGGAGTTTGCAGGTTGGTCCCAAGCCCCCGACCGCTCTCCCCCAACCACAGATCCGCCGGCAGTTACCCCCGCCAGTGCCCTGGTGCTCGCCACAGTTGGGGAGGAGGCTGTGCTGGTGTGTGAGGCGTCTGGGGTGCCCCAGCCCCGGGTCATCTGGTATCGAGGTGCGTCATCACTGGGTGGGAGAGGAGGCTCCAGAACTGACCTGCTGGGGCCCTGGAGGATCAGCTTTCTGGAACACTCTTTGGGGGGCACTCTGAATGGGTGTCTGCGGATTGCTGGCTGGTGTAGCACGGCTCAGCAGATGGGGGCAGTATATGGAGTAGATCCAGATTTGAATTCAGGCTCCTCTGAGTGACCTTGGGCAGGTCACTGTGGGCAAGTGACTTGGCATCTCTGGCTGGCTTCCTTATCAGGAAAACGGGGAAAGTCAAATATGGGTTGGTTGTGTGAGGATTAAATACACCTCCATGTGTCAAGTGTTTACAATCAGCCAGGCACACGGGCTGGGCTCAGTATTTAGTGCTGGTGATAATGGTGAGGTAATGGTAATAGGGTTGCTCTGAGCTCTTTGGAGCTAACGGGTAGAGGGCCTTTTCTGGCTGCCAGACATTGAGCCAGAGTCTGGGTGATGGAGTTGCCGTCCTGGGGCTCAGTCCCACAAGGAGCAGAATCCTGGGCTCCTTTTTAGGAGTCATCCAGGGTCAGCAGCGCTCCCTCCCACCTGGACATGCTCCGCCCTTTGCAGCACCTGTCTACAATCTTGTCAGAGCCTAACCTTGGCTTTAAGACAGGCAGGTATTAGCTCAGAGGCTGAGCATTTTGTCCAGGGTCACCTGAAACTCTGTTCCCATTAAGTAACAGGGGTTCTGACTTTGGGAAGGAAGCTCCCCCACCCCCAGGCCCCAGCCTCATGAAGGTGCAGAAGCCCAGGGTCAGGAAGGCTCAAGCAGCCTGACACCCTGGCCTCCCAGGGCGACCATGGGCACCTGCATGATACCTTCTTGTCTTTGCTCCAGGGGATCTTGAGATGATTCTGGCTCCCGAGGGCTCCGGCGCTGGGACGCTGCGGATCCCGGTGGCCCAGGAGAGGGATGCTGGCATCTATACCTGCCGAGCTGTCAATGAGTTGGGCGATGCCTCGGCGGAAATCCGGCTGGAGGTTGGACGTGAGTGTACGCCTGTCCCCACCTGTCCCCACCCTTGCTCTGCCCTGAGCGGGGAGAGACAACTCTCCCATGGAGACCACCAGTGTGGAATTTGTGTCTTGCGGATTCAGAGCATGTGGGACAAGAATGTCAGAGGAGATGGGGCACACATTACCTCTTGCTGTGCATCAAATTACCCCAAAACTCTGGCTTAAACAATAAGCATTTATTGTCCTATAGTTCTGGAGGGGCAGGATTCCAGAAGTGGCTTGGTGAGGTGGGTGTAGCTTAGGGTCTCTCACGGGATTGAGTTGATACGTCAGCTGGGGCTGCATCCTCTGAAGGCTTGACGGGCTGGCAGAGCCCCTCTGAGTTCGCTCATGGCTGTTGGCAGGAGGCCTGAGTTCCTCACCCTAGTGGGCTTCTCAGAAGGCTTCCTGTGATGTGGGCTCCCCAAGAGCAGGGGAACCCAGAGAGAGAGGGGGAGAAGAAAGAGAACCCAAGGCGGATGCTGTAGCCTTTATAACCAGCCAGTCTTGAAAGTGGGATGTCATCACTTCTACACAAGCTCCTGGGCACACTGACCAACCCGGGCACACTGACCAACCCTGGCACACGGTGGTTGGGAAGGGCCACTCGAGTGTGTGAATACCGGGAGGAAGGGTTCATGGCAGCCATCTTGGAGGCCGTCTACCACAGTTCGGCGCTGTCGTCCCAGAGACCTGCATTCCAGTCTTGTCTCCACCACTTAACCACCCATGTGCTTTTGTCAAGTTGTCAGCCTTCAGGTTCCCCATCTGTAAAATGGGGCCGGCCACACTACTTCCTTCACTAGGTTGCCGTGAAGGTTTAGTAGAATCGGGCGCATAACGCTCAGTATAGGGTCTGGCCTGTTGTGAGTACTTGATTATCCCCTTTTTACAGGTAGGGAGTCTGGATTGTTCTGTGGCTGGTACATGGCCTTGGTGTGATTGTTGTGATGTCTAAGTTCCAGGCCTGGGTCCCAGGCACTAGGAATTGCCTGGAAGTTGTGGGCACAGCTCCTTGGCATGCCGCGTTGGGATGAATTGGGCTCTGAGGAATTGCTGCAGCTCAGGTGCAAGAGACAGGTGCTGAGAGTTCTGGGGAAGTGCCCAGAATGAGAATGTGCTTGTCTGGGGTGGGTGAGATGGCCAAGGGGCTCCCTGGGGAGGGTGGGGGGCCCTGGGCCGAGCAACCTCATTTAGGGTGGTGCCATCTCAGGGCTAGGATCTGCCAAAGAGAGAGACAGCAGACGATTCGAACAGCCAGTATACAGAGCATTTGAAATGATATCCTGGAGATCTGTGGGTGCCCAGGGAAGTAGGCTGACCCCACTTTGGGAAAGCTTCTTAGAGGAGGTGATGTCTAAGCTGAACCCAGAAGCAATCAGCCAGGTGGTGGGCCGGGCAGCAGTGTTCCAGGCAGAGGGAACAGCGTGTGCTGACCTCCCCATGGCAGAAGAAGCCGGGGGTGAGGTGGGGGGGACAGAGAGGGGAGGCCGTGGCAGCTGCTGCCTGTTGTGGCCACTCCCAGCCACAGCCTCCGGAAGCCAGCGGAGTTTGGGCTTTGTCCTGCAGAGCCTGGAGAGAGGTTCTAAGGACAATAGTGTGCTCATTTTCCCTGTGTAGAGTGCACTGCGTGGCTGGGCTCTTAGGTGTTGTGGGGTGAGTGTGGAATGCCTTGGGTTTAGAGTCTGATAAAAATTAAAATATAAGCTAAGACGTCTATGGAATTTGCCATGTGCTAGGACCTACTCTAAGAATGTTTTATATACTAACATATAATCCTCACAACATTTTGAGACGTGCTCTGTCTTTATTCTCTTTCTAAATGGGGAAAGTGAGGCGCAGAGAAGTTAAGTGACTTGACTAAGGTCACACAGCTGTGATCTGAACCCAGGGTCCAGGCCCTTAGCCCCTGGACTTGATCTGATGCTCACCAGCAGGTGAGCTTGGACATTGCTTCCCTACTCTGAGCCTTGGGCTCCTTATCTGCAAAATGTCTCTGGGATGTTGTGTGAGTGAGAGATGAGAAAGGCGTGGGCCACCGTGGATCTGATAAATGCCACTGTCAATAGCTGGTTCTGGGTGAGAAGAGAGGCTACTGGGGGTGCGGGCTGGGGGGCGGGGGCTGCAGTTGGCATTCTTATGCAGAGTCATCCTTTCTTCTCTATGGGTTTCTTTCCAACACAGTAGCAAAGTTGCTGTTGGGGCCGGGCTGACCTGCCTGCCTGCCTGCCTGGTCCTTTGTCTTCACCTGTCAGCTGTTAGCCCTGGAAACACTCCCTATATTGGAAGGAGGAGGTGGCTGGCATCCCAGAGGCAGGCTTCTGGGGCACTGGGCCGCTGGGGTAGCCTCTGGCCCTTAGGTCAAGGAAGGGGTGGACAGTGGCCCAGCACCTGTGTGTCTGGGGCAAGCTGGCCTGGCAGCAGCAGTGGGAGGTGGAATTTCCCATCTGGGTGGCAACTGCGGTCCACCCTTCATGGCCAAGCTGGCAAAAGCCTCCCAGGGCTGGGAACGGATGGGCACTGTGCCTCCTTCCTGCTGGTGAGATGGGAGCTGGCTTCCTAGTGGCACTTGGGATCTGGGGAGGAGGGCAGCCCCTCCTGTGCTGACAGTGAGCCCCGGTGTTTGTGGGCCAGGGTGCACACAGGGCCCTGGAGAGATTTCATGAGATAATGTGCTTCACTCAGGGCTTGAATAAGTGCTCGGTCTACTTGCTGTAGGCTGGGCCAGGCTGAGAAGGGCCTGAGGGGCAGACGATTTGTCATGTGGCTGGTGGCCTGGCTCTGACGTGGGTGGCTCCCTACCCAAGTTCAGTCAGTGCTCTTTCTGTGACTTTAAAAATCTGCCCTGAACTAAGTGACCTTGGGCAGGCTGGATCTCTCTCTAGATGGACTTCACTCAGCCCTCTTCCACCTTTCATTTCACTCCTTGCCCTGGAGGCCCCTGGTTGCTGGGTGGGTGAGCAGGGGAGCGGGCGGGATGCTTTTGTGGTGCAAAGACCCTCTGGCCAGCCTGGCCTGTGACAGGTGTGACCAGTACCCAGTGGTTTCTCCATCAGGCACAAAGGGCACTGGCCCAGCATCTGGGATGGTTTAGGAAACCAGGACAACACTCTGATTTTCATTTCCCTTAAAATCAGAATTTAAAAAAGAGTAATGGGGGAATAGATAAAAATGAATCCAGCCTGGGTTGATTTGTCATTATACCAATATAGTCATAAAGCATCATTTTTAGAGTATCTTATGGAGGACGAGGCCCCTGGGAGCCATCCAGCCGCCCTGGCCGTGGGGCTGTGGCGCCAGGGCCAATAATCTTTATCTGAGAGTCTCCTTGAGGGGCTGTGGAGGCCATTCTGCCTGGGTCACAGACACCTCGGCGTTCCCTCTAAATGTGGGGAGGGGCGGGAGGCCGGCCTCTCTGGTGATTGCCTCGTGCAGCTGCAGACTGCCTGAGACCCCCTGCCTCTCCGTCAACCTGAGTCAAGGCTGGTTGAGCTCTCCTTTCCTAGCTGGCTCAGCCCCCAGCCCTGTGCCAGGGCTCTGAGCCACAGGACCTGGGGGTGGCAGAGGAGACAGGGGGCCTGTGTGGTCTCTGGGGGATGATAAAGAGCCCTGGAGCTTTAGGGTATGGGAACCAGCTAAAACTAGTTACCTCTTTCTGCATGGGAAACTGCAGCCCGGAGTGGTGAAGGGGTGCACCCATGGGTGCCCCATGGGGCAGAGGCAGGTGGGGGTCCTGCCCAGGCTTCAGGCCTTCCAGCCTGTGTCCCCTGCCATGGGGGCTGAGTAAGAGGAAGGGAAGCCATCACCTCTGTCATGGTCGCATCCGGGTGGCTGCTAGAGTCCGTGGCAGCTCTGCTACTGGAAAATCACCTGCTGGGTCCAGTTAACTGCAGCCCCAGCTCCTCTGAAGAGGCAGCCGGGGCTAGGGGCACACCTCGGGGCCCATCCTCCGGGTTCCCCACGCAGGGCTGCCTCCCGTGCACACCCGGCTGCTTCTCTGGCGGCAGCTGCACTGTCCCACTGTCTCAGGGGATTTGCAGCTCCTGCCCCAGAACCCTGCCTGAGGCCAAGGCAGAAAGGGCCGCCCCGGGGGAAATCGGATGGTGGTGGAGCCATCTCAGAGGCCCTCCTGGACTGCAGAGGGTCAACGGGGAGTGTGTGAGGAGGGGACTCAGCCCAGAAGCAGAAGTAGCTGAGCCTCGTGGAGGAGGCCCTGGGCAGAGCGCCAGGCCAGGAGCTGGGTCCCTCTGACGGGCTGCAGGGCTCAGACCAGCCCCACCCCACCCTTCCCCCAGGCCTCCGTCTCCCACCTGCACAATCAGGGGTCCGGAGGACCTTCAGCTCTGGCATCCCAGGGTTCTGGGGTCCCACCTTATTTGGGGGACTCCAACAAGGAGTGGTGGATGGCTGCACGGGAGGCTGAGTCACAGATTTCTGGGCAGGATTTGAGTCTGGGATGTGGCTGCTTTGGAATTCACCCCAGAGAGAGGATGAAAGCGATGGGCGTGGCTCTGGCTGGGGCGGTGGCCAAGTCATACCTAGGGGACAAGGGGGTGCAATGGTTGACAGCCTGGCTTTTAGCAGCGGCCAGACCTGGGCTGTGATCCAAACTCTGCCGTTGACTTCCAGCTGTGCCCCCTGGGCAAGTTCCTTAACCTCTCTGACCTCGGTTTGCTTATCTGTAAAATGGGGTTGTGATAATATTCACTTCACGAGTTTATTGAGACCATTAATGAAATCATGTTTCTAAAAGCTCTGTCACCACACCTGTCCCTTAGGAGGCATTCCTAGTCCTGGCCTTTCTGCGTATTACGTGCGTATTATAAATCAGCTGTCCCTCCTCACAGGGGCAGGTTCAGGACTGGGAAGAGAATGGGAAAGGCAGTACAGTTCATGATACCTCAGAGTTGGGAGACAATGCCAGGCTGTTTGGGGCTAAGGAAGAAAGGGGTCAAGAAGTCCAAGAGAGGTGGTGGATGGGGGGCCTGCCTGGAGGAGGGAGGTTTGAGCTGTGCCCTGCAGGCAGGCTGGGCGGAGCCAGGGAAGGCAGGCTCTGTGGGTACCCAGCCTTGGAGCTGAGCCTCCACTCTGGCCAGGGTAGAGGGCATCGCACCACTGACTGTCTGCAGGACCAGTGACCCCATCTGAGGCGAGCCCAGAGCAGAGGCTTTTTGGGATTGTGAGTGCGGGTGGCTGCCAGGCCCCAGCGAGAAAGCCAGGCCTGTGTGCGGGCGGTGTCTGAGGTTGGGTCCAAAACCGTCTTCATCCCTGCAGTCATTTTCCAATTTGTGTTTATATCTCCCTGGAACTTCCCTAATCTCTGAGGCCAGGAGGGAAATTTGATGTCATGATTTGGATGGATGGGGGAGATTTCTGGAGAGAGATGGACAGAACAAAGAGGTGGAAGACTTTCCACCGTGCTGGGTGCAGTGGGTTAACAGAAGGCTGGGGAGCCTTTCTGGCCATGGATCTGGGGATAGGGACCTGAGGACAGTGCCCAGAGCTGCAGAGGACAGGACCTGGACCTGTCAGGAGTTGGGCCTGCTCCTGGCCTGCTGAAGGGCAGAGAGGATCATATGAGTTTCTGTTTGGGAAACAAGTTTTTTCCCCCTGATTATAAAAGTAAGACAATGCTTAGAAAAAAAAAATCACTACAAGAAACACTTGTCAGAAATGCTACAGACTGGTCAGTGGTTACCTTGGAGAAGGCATGGGATATGGGGTGGGTGGAGCAAAAATTAGGGAAATGTCCCCTGTATTGTTTGAACTGTTGCTAGCACAGGTGAGTGGGACAGGTCTGCTGTCCTTGTGTAATTTATGAATGTGGCTCTTTTTCACTCTCTAGTGTCCCATTTGGACCATAAAGTGAAAGTTCATATTATTTATAACAACCGTGTCATGATTTTGTGGTGGACTTTCATATGCTCATTACAAGAAGTTCCGCAAGGAGAGAGGGATGTGCAGAAGATGACTTACAATCCCTGCACGCAGTCGGGGTTGGCTCTTTGGGGTTGTGGACATGGTTGCCCGCCCGGGTCTGGGACACCTGCCGGAGGAAGCCCCCTGTGGCCCAGGAGAGCGCGAGGAGGGGGGAGCGTGGTCTGCAGCCACTCAGAGGTGGGCTTTCCGGGAGCACGTGTGTTCTCCTCTGCAGGGCTGGGCAAAGCAAGGCCCCTGAGACCCCACGCGGGGGTACAAGGCATATTGGCAGCTTCATCCCGTCAAAGGCTGCTCCCTCTGCCTCGTCCCTGATTGCTCGCCAGGGATGGTCTCTGCTGAGCTCAGGCTGGCCCCTGGATGAGTCAGCCCCGGGTTCAAGTGCGCGAGGCTGGAGCGGGCAGCCAGGCAGCAGAAGCAATGTCCTGGGGGCCAGTGTGGCTGACCAGTCACCCCCCCTGCAGATGCACCCCAGCTGGTGGAGCTGCCCCAGAACGTCACTGTGGAGCTAGGGAGGAGTGCCCTGCTGGCATGCCGGGTTATGGGACGCCCTGCCCCGACGGTCACCTGGCATCGTGGAGATGGCCAGCCCCTGGAGGCTGGGCAGGGCAGCAAGACTGGGCAACCCCATTCAGGAGTGCTGTTCTTTGAAAGTAAGAGATTGGGGCTGGGGAAGGTGGGCAGGGGGGATGGGAGGCTTCTGACACCCTCAGCCCCAGGCTGGGTGGCTGGGAGCAGGACCCTGACCCCTAGCACTGGTCATGGATCAGGCTGATGCAGGGCCATGTTTTATCTGGGTGACACTGGTCAAGTCATTCCACTGCTCAGGGCACAGTAATGATAATGACAGTACCTACCACCTGGGTTTAATAACAGGTCCCCTTCAGGGCATACGGAGGTGGGACACTAGGGTGCTTAGCCCAGCTCCCAATGCACAGTGGGAGGGGTGTTGCCCCAGTTTTCACCATCATCACCATTACTCCGTGCCAGGCCAGCCACTGGGCACCAGATTCACACCATGTTACTGACCCCTCCCAGTCACCCTGCAAGGTGTAGGTACTGACAAATTATCCCCGTTCTACAGATGGGTAAGCTGAGGCCATCTCACTCTCCACGGCTGGGCTGTGTCCCCTCTCCTCTCTGCCACCCTAGCTCGCCTACCTCATCTCTGCCAGGGCCAGGCCATGCTAAAGGCTCTGGGCCAAGGGGAGCTGGAGGCTGTTGGGGCTGGAGCCACGCACATCCTGACAGGCCCGCCTCTTTCCTGCCCCGCAGGCGTGGTCCCTGAAGACCAGGCTCCCTACGTCTGCAAGGCTCGCAATGTCTTTGGGGAGGTCCAGGCAGAGGCGCAGCTGGTGGTGACTGGCCACGGTTCGCTGGTGGATCTGGAGAGGGGGCTTTGGTGGGGAGGCCGGGCACCCCCAGGGAGGCCCCCTGCTACCCATTCCTTTGGGACAGATGTGTCCATGGCCAGGTTCTCCTAGAGGGGCTTCTAGAGCAGTGTGCCTCGGGAGGCATGCCCTGCAGGCCCTTTAGGATCCCCAATGCTGATGCTTCTAGGTTCCCTGGGGAGTTGGGGCAGGGGCCTCTGTCCCCACGTGACCACCCTCAGGAATCTGGTGTGACCAGCACCATCTCCTCGGCCCACAGGCCCCCCCCAGATCGCCAGCAGTGCCCCCACCATCCGGGTGCTGGAGGGGCAGCCTGTGTCCCTGCCCTGCGTCATCCTGGCTGGGAGACCCCACCCGGAGAGGCGCTGGCTCAAGGCTGGCCTGCCCGTGAGTGCGGCACATGGTGGTACCTGGGGCGGGAGGGGTCTGTCGTGGTCGCACCGCACCTCTGCTTTGCTGCCCCCTGCTTTGGAGTGTCCTCTTTCTTCCTCCCTCTTTCCTGCCTTTTCCTAGAAGCTTCTCTCATGTGCTGATAGCTCTGTCGTCCTCTGAAGGCCCCCTGGGACCAGGAGGCTGCTGGCCCCCTCGGAGCTCAGTGGGAGGATCTCGCGCTCTGCCAGCTGTGGCTGGGAACAGGAATTCGGGAAAGGGGACACGGACTCAGTCACTCGTCACCCTCGTCCTGGTGGTTCCAGGACAGACACATAACCTGTGCAGTTTAATATCTGCCCCGACCACCCCGCACACCACTGGGCACACAGTGACTGCCTTATCCATTTTATCTATTTGGTTTGCTTTGCTTGCCTCTGTTTCCCCTGTCCTGTCCACTCCCTCTTAGCCTCTCTCTTTTCCCTGATTCGTCTGCCCTGTCATCAGACATATGGGGGTCCTTATGCCCCTGAAGCTGTAAATGGGTACCCTTACCCCAGGAGATGGGCAGACACTGGACACCAGGGAGGCAGTGGCTGTGTGGCAGTCTTTCTGTCCCCACTGCCCTGGTCCCGGCCTCTGGTGCTCTGCAGACAGGCTCTGCAGCCTGTGATCATGTGACCCTGGGCAGGGCCCTGCCTGAGTGTGTGAGCTGGGTGGCGAGGGGCACGTGGGGAAGGAGTGGCCCTGGGCTGTGTCAGTGCCAGGACGGGCAGTGGCCAGGGATGCCTGTGTCAGCTCCGCAGGGACATGGCGTGGACCTGCCCCTGATCGCTGCTGGGTGCAAGGAGCACCAAGCCCTTCAAGGCCCTTCAGCCCAAAGAGCCCTGGAGCTGAGGCAGCCCAGGAGCATCTCCTGGGGCCCGAGTGCAGACCACACCGCGGGGCTCGCAGGGCGGGGTGGGGCAGGGCAGGCTGAAAGGTTTCCGGGCCCCTCGCCAAGGATGGGCTGGCGGGGCATCTTTACAGGGGATCCCCCGGGCCCCAGTCTGGGCCAGCGCTCCCAGCCCCAGCATGGTCCCGACGGGGGACTAGCCTGGGCCACCACCTGGAGCTGCTCTCTCTGCCTCCCTTCCTCTGTGGGACCGCAGCAGATGTGGCCACACTTCCGCTACAGTCTGCATGGCTCTTCCTGCTGACCCTGCTGTCTGGGGCCTTGGCATGGGAGGGCCACAGGGCACCAGGGCCTACTCAGTGAGGGCTCTGGCCCCAGTCTCCGGCCTGGATGGGGCACCTGCCCTGGCCCAGTTGGCCATGGGAGAGTGGGGTCAGGGGTTTGCAGGGGTCAGGGCCACCTGGTCCGAGGGTCTGTGGGAATGCATGAGTCTCAGGGAAGGGGTGGCTGCTGGGAGGTCATAGTGTCACCCCCAGCTCCCCTACCTTCTCGGACCCCTGGCCTCTCAGTCCAGCCTGCTCCCCGCTGGCCTGGCAGGCAGTGTGGTTTGTGGAGCCCTCTTGGCTGGCTCTGCGTGGCCTGCAATCCAAGCTGGTACTTCCTCACCCACACCAGCTGCCACCTGGAAGCCGGCATTCTGTCCGAATGGACGGCAGCCTCCACCTTGACCGGGCACTGCGGGAGGACGCGGGGAGGTACCGCTGTGAGGTCACCAACATGGTCGGCTCTCAGCACAGAGACGTGGAGTTGGTTGTGCAGGGTGAGTCCCAGGGTGGGGCTGGGGACGGGGTGGGATGAGGGAAGGCTCATGGGGGAACTTGATCTTGAATACCTTTGTTTAGAAAAACTGCACAAATGGTACATATTCACTGTAGGAAAATTAGAGCTTGCACAAGTGGGAAAAAAAACACTCCCGTAGTACCACTAGCTAAGAACCAGACTCATTTTACACTTTGGTGTGTATCGTTTGTATACATGCATAGTATAAAGTAAGTTACATATAAATTATATACATTTTTATGTACACTGTATATAAGTAATTTTTTAATAATGTTACACTTAAGATCTTTATATGTGTATGTATATATACATATATATATATTTTTTTATCCACCTATCAGTGAATTCTTTATATCCACATACATAGAAATATTTCAAAAACCCAACTGGGACCACATATTACTGTCTTGCAACCTGAAGGTTTCCCTTGACAGTAGATTACGACCGTTTTCTGTTAATAAATACTCAGGTGGGTCACTTTAAGACTGCGCGTCCCCGTTTGGATGGGCCTCGTTTCCTGACCCTTAGGTCCGGGCTCTCGCCAGCATAGATGTCCTCCTGCTTGGCCTTTGCCCACCTGCCCGATTCTTTCCTTAGGGTGAAACCATTAATGTGGAACTGAGTCTGACTCACAGAGCTTGCACATTTTTAGGGCTTGTAGTATATTTTGCTCAATTATTCTCCTATCCACAGCACTGGAGCGTCCCTGTTACCCTACGCCCACCCATCTAGGTACTGCTGTTTTTTTAAGATGAGAAGTTTAAGCTAAGTTTGCTTATGTTTTTTCATTTATCAAGTATGGTAATATCCTTTTTTTTTAAATTTTGTTTCATAAAACCTCTGAAGGATAAGCGAGAAGAACGGCACTGTTTCCATGATAGGGGAGAACCATGGTTCAGGAGGACGCTGGGTCTAGAACCCAGCAGTCCCGTCTCCCTCTGATTCCAAGTAATAGGGTGACTAAAGGTTGGGTGTGTACCTTGTGCCAGATGTTCTGTGTAGGTTCCCCTTGAGTTGTATAACTTCTCCGAGACTTGGGACTCAAAGGACATCCCTGCCCCACCCCCCACCCCCGTGCTGGCACAGCCTCCCTGCGGGGGCGGCCGACCAAGCTCTCTTGGCTCATGTAGCAACTTGCTGGCTTTGGCTACCTGGGAGAATCCAGAAGGGCATCCTCCCGAAAGGACCCCCGAGGGTTACCATTAGAACGCTGCACTTCTGGCCTCCCCTCCCAACCTTCCACACCCTGTTTCCTCCACCCCTCTCCTCTAGGAGACCCCATTTTCATGCCTGCAAATCTGGATGGTGTCCAGAATGGATCTGGCACTTGTTCTCAAGTTCACTGTGTTCCGTGAACATTATTTTCTGCCCTGTCTCATCCGTGCATCCCCAGAGAGTGGGCAGGGAATTGAGGTTAATTGGGCTTTTTTGCTGATCAAGGACTATGGGTACCAAAAGATTAAAGGGCTTTCCAGAGGGAAGGTTCCCAGGCACAGGCTGCCCTCTGTCTGGGGCTTGAATTTATAGCAGTGGTGGCTGTAGATAGTATGCCATTTGTCGTCTTCTGTTGAAACTTTTTAAAATTGTGATAAACTATATATAACACAAAACTTACCATTTTTAAGTGTACAGCTCAGTGGCATTCAGTACCTTATGCAACCATCACCACCATCCATACCCAGAACTTTCTCAGTACCCCAAACTGGAGCTCTGCACCCATTCAACGTGAACTCCTCACTACCCCTCCCCAGCCCCGGGCACCCACCACCCAATTGTCTGTCTCTGAATTTGATGATTGTAGGGACCCAAGAGAAGTGGGATCATGCAGTGTTTATCTTTCTGTGTCTGGCTTATTTCACTTAGCATAATGTTTTCAAGGTCCGTCGATGTTGTAGTATGTATCAATGACTTTCATTCCTTTTTAAGGCTGAATAATGTTCCATATGTACACATTGTGTTTAATCATCACCATTGACTGTTTCCACCTTTTGGCCTTTGGGAATAATGCTGCTATGAACTTGGGTTACAAAATTGGTTTGTTTTTAAAAGTGCCACCTAGAATCCAAACCACTGCCACCCACTACGTCACCAACGAAGGGGTTCCAGTCTCTCTCCCCTGTGTGGCTGCAGGAAGTCCCACCCCCACCATCACCTGGACCAAGGTAGGCAGAGCCTCTTATCATGAAGGTAACCGGAGAGGTAGGCTCAGTGCATCATGGGAAGGGAATGATGATGCCAATCGCCATGGGGCGTGGGCTCTGCTAATGTCATTTGTGACTCTGCCACAGGAAACCAATGCCCTGACCTCCAGAGGACCCCACTACAACATGAGCAAGGATGGCACCCTGTTCATCACCAAGCCATCTGCCCAGGATGCAGGGGCCTATGTTTGCACAGCCACCAATGCCGTGGGCTTCTCCAGCCAGGAGATGCGGCTTTCTGTCAACAGTGAGTGGCACTGGCCTTGTCCTGGGAGAGGGGCTTGGCAGGAGTGGAGGCAGAGGCATGGACCATCTGACCTTACCTGCATCAGTCAATCCTGACTCTAAATTCTTCCCGTCTGAGAGCATGTAGACCAGAGCTGTCCTCCCTGGAGGGAGCACTGCCCCCAGTAGTGTGGGCTTGCTTTAAGAGCAGTTCCAACTCAGCCTTTGAACAGATGGAGGGGAAGCCATCACATTAACAAGCATCGGAAAGCTGGCCCTACCATGGACCCCTCCCACCTTGGCAGCCCCTCTGTGTTCCTTTCAATTTCCTAAATCGTCCACCCTGCCTCAGGGCCTTTGCTCGTGCCATCCCTCCCCAACCTCTTGGCCCAGCCTACTTCTCCCATCAGTCAGATCATAGCTTTCTGATCCCCAGGGCTGAGCCTGTCACCTTGCTGTCAACTCTCTGGGGTGTCCCATCATAACTACCCACCTCCACAGTGACTAACCAGTTCATTGGGTGTTTGGTACCAGCGCTCCCAGTGGGTCCTAAGCATGGTGAGGACAGGGGCAGGACCTGTACTCTTTGCTCTATTTCCTAGCATTAACCCCCAAGTTGGGCACTTGGTGACTGTCTAAGATAAGTGAGCAAAATGCACAATATTTTTCTCTCATATACTCTTAGGATTGATATTTTTATACTACAAAAAAAAATTTAAGGGGAATGTTTTCCCCTCTGAACTAATGATGTACAGGGAACACATGAGGGCCACATGTCTTGGGCAATTTGATGTCCCCAACTGGCTGGCTTATTAATTATTGCTCAGGTGCATCCTGGGTGCCTTCAGTGTATGAGCACCTGGCTAGAAAGGTAGGGGGGCACTTCACATGAGAAAGAGGTCATGTGCATGGATTATTATAACCCTCCCCCTGGGCTCAGTGGGGTTTGAGAAGGCTGGACAGAGACTGTGCATCATCTGGTGGTTGACACCCCAAGAATAAATGGGATGGGAAAGGGGGAGAAGGGAGAGAGAGAAGAGGGGGCAGAACCTGCCAGAGCATCCCTGGGGGAGGGGCAGCAGGAAGCAGAGGAGCTGGAGGAGGGTAGATGTTGGGCACAAGGGACCATATCGGGTCATCAAGGCAAGATTGGGAGCTTTTAGAGGGAGGGTGACAGTGGAGAGGTGGAGGGTGAACCGTTGCATCTTACCCACCCCCCAAACCTGAACTCTTCTGTTAAACCAGAGCCCACACGCCTGCACCCCCCTGGGTGGCAGTACCACCCATGCTTCCTGGCGGAGCCACCTTGTCCCCTCCAGGCCCCACCCCACCGCTCCCTGCCTGCTCACAGCCCCCACATGCTTCCACCAACAGCCGAGCCCAGGATCCGTGTGAATGGGTCACATGGTGCAGACAAGCCTCTGAGAGTCACAGCCAAGGTCGGTGAGGAGGTGACCTTGGACTGCGAGGCCCAGGGCTCCCCACCCCCACTGATCACCTGGACCAAGGACTCCCGCCCTGTGCCGCCCATCATGGACAGGTAACCTGCAATCTATGGCCTCGGGTCCAGGAATGGACAGAGTTTGGGGTTTGAGGAAACTGGCCTCAAGCTGGCCAGTGATCCAGCTGGTGTGTGAGAGCTCGTGGACACGCCCAGGGGACGCACATTCAGTTCCAAACACGGTGCTTTGTCCATGGTTTCCCTGCAGCTCCCCAGGGGACCTCTAAGGGATCATGAATGCCCAGGCAGAGACCCCTCTGAAGTGACATGCACCCAGTGCTTTGTGCATCAGCCGCTGGGTGCCACATGCAGAATCTTCTGAAATCTGCTGGGCAGCCCTTGTCGTCTGAGCTGAACTGAGTGCCAGCAAAGTGGGGTGAGCTGGTTGTGGTCACCCAGCTGGAAAAGAAGACCTCTATGGTTGGGGTGGCATCCCGGCTGTATCTGTGCTGAGCCCCCGCCTGCTCCGTTGACTGGCGGCTGGGCTTCCTGACTCACTTAACAGCTTCTCTCCTACCATCAGGGGTCCTGGGAGGGAGCAGAGAGGGAGGAGGCGGGCTTGGGCAGGAGTGTGGGGAACAGTGATTCCAGACAAAAAGGCTTCAATACGCCTGGGGCTCCTGACCCTCGGAGGGGGTGGGGGTGGCTGGTGACATCAGCCCTGGCAAGGTTTTTGAGTTCCAGACCAAGAAGGTCTCCAGGAAGCCTTCTGTGCAGCCCCCCAACCCCTGACACCCACACGTCTGCATCTCAGAACATCTGTTTGTGAGCCCTTCCAAAGCCTGCACCCCTGGATGTGGTTTGGGTCCTGCACCTGGGCTGGATCTGCAGTGCCCCCACCCCATCCCCCTGGGGTCTGCAGCTCCGTGTCCTGTGAAGGGGTGAGGTGGGGGAGAGGGCAGGGAATCTGCATCTCCCCAGAAAACCTGGTTCTAGCTTCTCAGCTGGGCGGCGGCGGCCAGCCGGGTGCTTTTTTATTTATGGCTTGTTACTGAAACGGGGAACCACATACCCATTTGTTCACCCCTCCTTGTGATGCGTTAACAGACCAACTGGGAGCCATAAATTCGTGAAAGCTGCTTTTGCAATCCTAGAGTTGTGTTCCGTCCCTTCTCCCTTGCGCTCTCCACTTCTTGCTGGCTTCCAGTTTTCTCTGTGATTTATGAGATTCTGGGAGTTTATCTAAAGGAGGAGGAACATAGGCCTGGGGGTGGGCTGGGGTGAAGAGCCTTAGACCCTCGTGTCGGTCCTGCTGGTCCTGTACTAGCGGGGCGGCCATGGGGCCCACCAGCTCCTCCTGGCCAGTTTCTCCATCTTAAAGTGAGCATTGTTTAAATGATGCTCATGTGGTGCGGTGATGGGCGTGCGGTGCCCAGTATGTTGTTGAGTGTTGGGAAATTGCTCTCGTTGGTAAGTCATCTCCCTGCGCCTGCTATTCACCAACTAAGGCAACATTTCTAGCTTTTAAGATTATCATCGTCACATCTATTATCTCATTTTATTCTCACCCACTTTTTTAAAATGTGGGCAGGCTCTGGGCCCCATGGTCGTTTGGGCCCCCCCGCTGCTCTCTGGCCGCACCCCCACACAGAGCAAAGCCCCGTTTCCTCACCAACACATAGCTCCCCGTAGTCCCGCAGCTGCTGTTCAGCCAGGAAATGGAGGTTTAAAAACCCCATGGCAACACGGAGCGGGCAGGTTTGCGCCCCGACCCCCACCACCTCCCCTTCCTTCTCCGAGGGGTCCCAAGGCTGAACTTCAAAGCTGCCCTTCTGGGAGCTTGAGAACTTACTCGGGAGAGTCGTAGGTGCTCCAGGTCCAGCCCTGCCTCTCCCCGGCCCCTTCCCCTGGCTGAGCTGCCTCTCACCTGCGGTGCCCCGTTCTCTGTCCCCAGGGATGGAAGTCTGTGCCTGCTCTGTGGTTGCCCAGGGCCCGTCACTGACCAGGGGCTATCGGCCCGATTAGGGTCACCAGTGGGGCTCCAGGGCTGCTGTTGCTTCAAAGCCCCCTGATAACTCTGTGCTGTAGTCAGGTTGAGAACCAGCACGTGGCTGAGCCTCCTAGGCTTCCTCCATCTCCATTGGGGCAGGGCTGGCCCTCTTCTTCTGCCAGCCATCCTGGAGGTGGGTAGAGTGAGTGGCATCATGCCCAGTGCACCTAGGAGGACACAAGTAAATGAGTGTGAGGAAGTGGGTTACCACCTCCTGATTCCTGGGGCTGGGCCCTGACATGCACACAGACACACATAAGCATGCACATACATGTTCATGGACACAGACACACATGGACATAAGACACATAGAGACACACAGACACGTACACAAGACACACGTAGAGACGCAGACATGAGACTGCATAGACACATATATATGAGGTTTCTGGGCCAAGGTCAGGCGGGCCACTGGTCTCTCTGGAGGATCTAGAGAATATTCTGCCCTCTCAGAGTTCCTTGACCGCCCCGGGCAGAGAGTCCTAATAGAAAACAGTGGAGCTTGAGTAGCCATAAACTCAAAACCACCTTCTTCCAATTTGAAAGTGTAAATGCTTTTATAGAATTAAACTCAGTGCATCTTCTATTCTGTCCCCATCATTGGTGCTTTTCCCCCGTTTACCCATTTTCTTGATTCATCCTGACCCATATCATTTGCTTTTCATTGAAAGGGCAAAATAACATTCCAGGGTGTTCAGCTCCCATCGTTGCTAAGCCGCTCCTCTGTTTGGAGCATGTGCTCCATTGCCAGTTTTCGGCGGTGATAAATGGGGCTGTTGGCAACAAATGCTCCTCTTTATCTTCTGGGTCACTTCCTTGGGGGTACATTTCCGAAGGCAAACAGCTAAGTCCAAGGGTGGGAATGGTCATTGGGTGCTTCTTACCCTGGGGATTGCTGTCTGTCAAAAGACCCTCGGAGTTGTGACTTCAGAATTGAAGTCAGCAGGACTTCTGAGCAATCTCACATGGCCGGGACTGGGCCAAAATAGCAGCAGAGAGAAAAGACTCAGGCTCGGGCTACTGTGTGAGATCAGGGGCCAGAAGACCCGAAGTGGCACCCCAGCCTTGCCCCCAGCTCACTGAGTGAACTTCAGCAAGACCCTTCTGCAATCTGGGCCTCAGTCTTCCTGCCTGATAAATGAAAGGGTTGGTGGCCAGAGAGTGCCTAGTGGCTCTGGTCCCCTGACTCCGCCCAGGGATGCTGGGGCGATGCTGTGTTTCTAAGCAACTGTGTTTGTTTGTGGTTCTTCTGCGCAGCTGGACAGCTGTGAGTGCTCCTGGCTCCTGCTCTGGCTCCCGGGGGCAGCCAGCCAGGGTCCCATATGGGGCCAAACCCAGCTGCATCTGGGGGAGGGAGGGGGACCGCGGGAGGACAGGGCGCTGGGAGGATGCTGCAGGGCAGTTGCTCGTCCTGCCGACTCTGTTTCTAAAGTGCCATTTGCAGCCCTCCCAACCTTACCACGGGAACACAGCTTCCAGCAGGGGGACCGGCGGCTGTCAAACAGCACTTGGGCAGTTACCCGCCTGGTGGAGAGCTGATCCTCACCCTGGATGCCTACCGCATGCCAGTGCACATGGGCCCCCTCTCCTAGCCCAGCTAGTTCAGAGTGGAGTGGCGGGGGCTGCAGCTGGGGTCTGGTGACCCGGAGAAAAGCTGCTTCCTCACCAGAAACTGGTGGCATGGCCCGGACTGCCCAGGGGCCCCCTGAAGGGTCTTTCCCTTGGCAGACCCTGAGCTCATGCTGGTTCCTGGCTGGCGGCTCTGAGGTCGGGTCTTGCCAGCCTGTGGCCAGCAGTCCTCTCTCCCTAGAACATTCAGTTGAAATAAACTTCAGAGTTGGACATTTAGAGCACCACAGTGGTTGAGAGTGTGGTGCAGTCTGAAGGCCGACCAGCTGCCCTGACCAGCACGAAGCTATGGACAACAGGGTGTCCCTCTGGGTCTCAGTTTTCTCCTCTGCAAAAGGGGGTGAAGATGGTGGATCTGCCTACCTTGCAGGTTTGGCTGCTGGGAGTTTCAAGTGGGAATGTGCAGAAAGGTGCTTAGCCACACTGTGGCACACAGGAAGTGCCCAGGCGTGGACGACCACCTGTTAGCGTGGCTGGATGGACCTTAGGTGGCTTCTGGGGTGGTACACTCTCCCCATCCCCTGCATTGTGCTTGGCCCTTTGGTGGGTATCAGGCCCCTCTCCTGAATTCTCCAGTTTGGATTTTCCATTTGGGGCTTCCTCACAAGGGTCTGTGGCCCAGGTGAGGCCACAGCAAGGAGATGAGGGTCAGAGCAGGCATTGCTCAGGCTCAGACCCCGCCCTGGCGCCAGCAGACTCGGGGCCCACGTGCACTGGCATGTGGTAGGCATCCAGGGTGAGGATCAGCTCTCCGGCAGGCGGGTAACTGCCCAAGTGCTGTTCCTTTGACAGCTGCTGGTCCCCCTGCTGGAAGCTGTGTTTCTGTGGTGAGGTTGGGAGAGCTGCAAATGGCCCTTTAGAAATAAGAGTCGGCAGGACAAGCAGCGTGGGATACAGCAAGAGGGGCTGGGTGCAGACAGTTCCAGAGTCTGAGCAGCCTGAGGACAGGAGCATTTCCCTACCTCTGTGGCCATCAGCACACCTTGGACCTAGTGGCAATTTGTTGAATGAGTGAATGAATGAATGAGCAATTGGCTGAACTGGGCTCCATGCAACTCAGAGCAGGGCACGTATCAGGGAAGTCTTCATGGAAGAGCTGGCGCTTGTGCTGCCTTGAAGTGGTCTGGAGGTCAAGAGTGCCATTGAGATTGGGTAGGGGCAGGACCGAAGGTGGGAAAGGGAGTGTGTGTGCGTGGTCAGGTGGGATTTGCCATGAGATATTTATGGAGCACCAGGGCCTGGGGATATAGCAGAAACCTGGGGATGCCTGCCCCCCTTGAGCCAGCCAACAATGACAGGTGACCACTGGTGTGACATATGCCATAGTGGCTTCAGGATCGTGTAACCAGATGCGGCACATGCATGAACCACAGAGGGCAAAGGGGAGCTGGAGAGGTGGCAGAGTGGGGTTGCAGTGACGGTATGTGCTGGGTGAGGTGGGGTGTGGCCTGGGGGTTTGCACAGTTCTGAGCACTTCTATCAGGTGACCTCTGGTCTCTGGGCAGCTAGGTCCCCCTTGGAGCTTGCAGAACCAGAGGGACCCCGCAGGACAGATGGCACCTCTTAGCTCCGTCCCTGCTACGGCCTCCGTCTGAGTGGCTGTGAGAACCTTGCAGCCTACAGTGAAGGCTTAAGCCCGATGGATGTCATAAACAGGAAATTCCCCACAAACCTCCCACCCCCCATTCTCATCTGGGCGCCACACACAGCCATCTGGCTGCTCACACATGATGGAGTGGCTGCTGCTAATTATGCCACACACACACGCAACAGCCCTGTTCTCCCTGCTTCCTCCCGTCTCTCTCCTGCCTCTGCCCCCACCCTGGGCTGCAGACCCCAGAACTGCTGGAGCCTCTGAAAGAGTAGAGGGAGAGCTGGGCCACAAGCTAGTGTAGTGAGGCTGCAGTAGGGGGAGAGTGTAGGCAGCTGTGGGAGTCCATAGGATGTACCCACCAGCCTTGGAGCATCAAGGCAGCCTTCCTGAAGGAGGTGGCATCTAAGTATTGAAGGTTGAGCAAGTGTGATCCAGGTGAATAGAAGGTGGAGGAGGGTCCCAGGTGGAAAGAAGAGCATGTACAAAGAAGTGGTGTGGAGGTGACCTGGCCCCTCTGAGGAAGAACCCCAGTAGAGTGTACACATGGTGGGATGCGGTGGGAATGGGGCCTGGTCCATGTAGGTCCATACAGGCCATGATGCTATACTTGGGTTTTGTCCAGCAAGCAGTGGGCATCCATGGAGGGGTTTAAAGCAGGGCAGTGATGTGGCCAGATTGGCACTGAGCACAGACAGGCTCCGTGGGGTCCTTTGGCCTCTGCTAGGCCTCAGTTGTCCATCTGTAGGGTGGAGCCTCCATTCCTTCCATTTATTCTGTGATATAGCGAGCAGCACATTCCCTTTCTAGGAAATGGCCTGGGCTGGTCATAAGAAAGACAAGATGCCTATTTTATTGCTGAGAATTTATTCTACTTTTGGAAACTTCTTTTATGTTTTTTTTTTCCTGAAGTTCCCATTTCCTATCCTTTTAAGGGCTGGTGAGGGAGGGAGCAAAGTGGTCTATGGTCTTGAAATTTCTCAGAAGAATGAGAAGGCAACCTCTGAGATAAGGAAGTCCAGAGCTGCCTTTTCGGATATGAAGAAACGGGGGTCCAGAGACATCAAGTACGCTGCTGGAGGTTGCACAGCTTGTCTGTAGCAGAAATGGACTGGGGATCCTGAGCTCTGGTCCCAGCCCAGACCTCTTTCCGCTGACCCGTGCCGTCCCTGTTTTGCCAGCTGAGGTTTGCAGTGAAGTCCTGGGAGGGCCCCGTGTCCCCGTCTCCTGTGTGACTGCGTGTGTGTTCCAGCATCAAAATGATTTGGCTCCTGTTTGGTGGATGTCAACATTATGTAATTAAAAAAAAAACCTTTTGATGAAAAAAGCTAGGCTGGGCGGAATGGAGCCTCGCAGGGGTGATGTTTACCTGTCGCTGGGACAGTACAGCTCTATGTGGTGTGTTGCCTTCACTTTGGAAGATGAAGCGGCCAGCTCAGGCGGCCCAGCTGACTGGAGACTGGGGGGTGAGAGCCCAGGCGCTAGCCGGGTGGGGGGTGGGAAGGGCGGGTCCTCCTCCCAGCGGGGCACTTGTTGAGCACTTACTGTGCCCCAGACACTTTGTGTGCATCGTGTCACTTCACCCTTGCACCTCCTGTGGCTCCAGGTGAGGGCCTGAGGCTCAGGGACATGGAGTCCTCGGCCCGAGGTCAGCCTGTAAGGGACAGAGTGGTGGCTCACACCAGGGCCACTTGCTGTGGTGACCCTGCTCCCATTTGCTCTGCTCTGCTGACTCTTGGGTCAGGGGGCATGTCCTTGTGTCTCTAGACAGTGTCCCCAAAGGCAGTCCCCTGACCATCTGTGTCAGAAGCACCTGAGACCTTGGTAAAACCCCCATTCCTTATCTCCCCCCACTTAAGAATCTCTCAGTGGGGCCTGGGGATCTGCATGCTTCCCATAAAGCTGGGAGATTCTGATGAGGGGGTTGCTAAGGTGTGAGGGGGTTGCTACCTGCAAGAGCTGACAGTGTGTGAGCCTGTGGCCCAGGAGTCCTGCTCTGGGGGGGACACAGAGAGCCATGTGCCTGGAACTCTGGTGGTAAATGAAAGAATGTGTGAAAGGTAGGGAGGAGGTAAGAAAGAAAAATGTCTAAATAGTTAAATGCCAACCAAAAGGGGAACAAATTAATAGGGTGGTCCTATGGGGGAGTGCTATACACCAGTGAAAAATGAACGAATTAGCTCTGCACAGGTACACATGCTCCATTTATATAAATGTTTGAAACATTGGGAAACTACGATGCGTGGTGTTGTCATCACCATGGTAACAGCTGCCCTTTGTTAGTACTTCTCTGTTCCAGGCACTGTGATGAGCATTAGGTCATTCCATTCTCTGGACAACTCTGGAGACTGTGGGAAGGGAGAGAGTTCTGTGGTCTCGAAAGTTCTTAGAAGAACTACAAGGCAACCTCTGGGATAGAGTCCAGAGCATTACTATTGTCTCTGTTTTCCAAAATGAGACAAGTGAGACGCAGCAAGGTTAAGTGACTCACCCAACCTCACACAGCAGTACACGGCAGAATGGGGATCAGGCCCAGTGCCTGGGCTCTAGAGACCACTGCCCAGTGCAGGGTTCACAGCTGGCTTTAGAGAATGTGTCCCAAGTGCCCATTGGAAACTGCAGGCGAACTGGAGGAGGTGTTGCTGGGCAGAGGAATTATCACCCCACTTTTCAGATGGGGAGACAGTGGCCCAGCAGAGCAAAACTGGGAGCCTGTGGCTGTACAGGGTGAATCACCAGCAATGTCGGCCTGCCTGATAGGTGCATACCCAGCACTTTACTGACAGCTGCCTGGGAGATGACGACTACCATCACCCCCATTTTGCAGAGAGGAAACAGGCTCCCCAGAAAGGGGGTTGGATCAGGCCGGAAGGCCAGTTCTGTTGGGGCTCCAGAGCCAGCTGTAACCTTGGGAGCACAGGCTAGAGGTCAGGCCCTTGGGATCCCACACCCCCGCGTGGGCCCCTTATGCTTGGGGCCAGTGGCTGCAGCTGCCCTCCCATTGTCCGGGGGCAGGGGCTTCATGGAGATAGCACATGTGGGCTGCTGACGTCATGTCTGCAGAGGCCCCTTGAGGTCCAGCCCAGCTGCAGGGGCCTGGCCAGGGGTCCGGGATCCCTGTCGGAAGGGGGCCAGGTGACTTCAGTACGGTGGGCCAGACTGGGAGGACAGTGATGGTGGGGCTGCCACGGCTTCCTCCAGAGGGTCCAACACAGCACTGGACTTTGAGTTGAGTCCCAGTCTGGGCTGGCCGCTGCTCCCTCAGAGCTGAGGCAGGGGTCTCCAAATGGGGCCTTGCACCCCTTGCAAGGGAGGGCGGGCGAACAGTGCTCACGGTCCCTAGGGAGGCATTAGAGCTCCTTCCAGCCAGCTGCCAGGCCCTGGCCTGAGCCCACGTGGAATCTATTCACCAGCCCCCAGACACAGGCCTCCTTGGTGTACCCACTTCACAGATGAGGAGATGGAGTCTCCTACAGGGGATGAGACTTGCTTCGCCGGCAGGGGAGGGCTCAGAATTTGGATTCAAGCCCAAGCTGGCAGACTCCCAGCCCAGGGTGCTCTATCGCGGCCACTTGGGACCTGGGCCTGAGCCTGCAGACAGGGCAATGGGGAGGAGTGAAGGGTGGGTGGGGGATACTGCCTGAGCCCTGGCAGAACTCCTGGGAGAAGTGCCTGGTCCCTGTGGGGTCTCGAAGCTTTTCCAGCTGGGGTGGGATTGACTGGGGTCTTACCAGAGCCTGTCACTCCTGCAGGCATCACCTCCTCCCATCGGGCGCTCTGCATCTGGCGCAGGCCCAGGTTGATGACAGCGGCCTCTACAAATGCAGAGCCAGTAACCCCGCGGGATCTGCCTCTCAGCACTATAGCCTCCGGGTGCAAGGTGGGACGTGGGGTGGCGGCCTCTCACCGGCCGTGGCGCTGCCCTTCGCTCTGTCCTCCTCTGGCCTTCTCAGTGCCCTCCGCCACCCCCACAGGCTCCGTCCCTCCTCAGGGCCCTCCACGCATCCTCTTCCCATCACCTCTACTTCCTGTCTTTCTCCAGCCCTCTCTCCTCCTTCCCCCTCCCATACCCCTTGGCTGGTGCCTGGAGAGGCTCTTCAGAGGCCCCCTGAGAAGAAAGGGCAGGACCTGCAGATGGGGAGGGGTGCCTAGAGCTGTGGGCACTTGGGCATTCAGAGGGGGTTTGCTGTTCTTGGCTGGGCCAGGGGCCCAGGAGTGAGCATTCGCCTGGGTGTCCAGTCCCATCCACAGAAGAAGCCAGTGGAGTGATTCCCACAAAAAAATCAGGGAGCTTATCATCTCCACGAGCCCCAAGGAATCATCTAGACAGCGGTCAGCTGGCCACGGCGCTCAGCCCACATCTGGTTTACCCCCCGTTTTCACATGGCCCACAAGTGAAGAATGGTGTCTACATTTTTAAATGATTGGGGGAAGAAAACACTGTGTTTTGTAACGTGAAAATTACATGAAATTCAAAAGTCAGCATCTATAAATACAAGTTTTATTAGAACACAGCCACACATTTGTTTACGTATGGTCTGTGGCCGCTCTCACACCATAACAGCAGGGCTGAGTAGTTGAGACAGCAGCCATCTGGCCTGCAAAGCCCAAAGTATTTATTATCTTGCCCTTTACAGAATAAGGTGACCCTGATCTAGGTTAACTCCCTGTACCATGGTGAACAGGCTGGAGCTCAGAGAGGGAGAGAGCTCAAAGGTTTGCTGTGGGTTTACAGGAGCATGTAAGAGAGACACAAGTGGGGGGACACCATGACTGGCAGAGCCTCAGAGTCCGCAGGCCTGGGTTTGAATCCTGACTCTGCCACTGACTGACTGGCTGTGTGACCTTAGGCCAGTCTCAGCCTCTCTGATGCTTGGTTTCCTCCTTTGTAAAGTGGGGGCCACAGTAATGCCCATCCTATAATTGTCAGGAGGGGTGTCACGGCATCAGGTGCTCAGCACAGTGTGGGAACTGCTACTGTTTTTGGGATGTGAGTGGTCAGCCTTAGACCGCCCCCCCACTATGATTTCTGCTGGCTGGAAGTGGGAGTCTGGGCTCTGCAGCACCCCTGCCAAATGTTTCTCCCTGTGGTCCTGTCAGTGCCCCCTCAGGTGCAGCCGGGCCCGGGGGTCCTGAAGGTGCTGGCGGGAGAGGCTGTGGACCTGAACTGTGCGGCTGAGGGCAGCCCGAAGCCCCGGCTGCACTGGGCCAAGGATGGCGTGGCCCTGCGGGGCGGGGGGCCAGAGGGCTCCATCCACTTTGCAGCCATCCAGACCTCCGACGCCGGGATGTACCGCTGTGAGGCTTCCAGCAGCGCTGGGGTGGACGCCTGGGAGCTGGAGCTCCGGGTGCTGGGTGAGTCTCCCCTGAACCCCAGAGCTTGCCTCTCCCCCTCCTCCCAGCAACAGCCTGGGCTTCTGAGGTCCTTGACCCTGGAGGCCATGGGGCTGTGGTCAGCCACGTGGGCTCTCTGTCCTCTGGGCTGGACAGAGCGCCATGGGAAGTAATTGAAGAGGAGGGGCCTGGGCCTGGGCCAGCTTCTCCCACATTCCAGCTGGACAACTGCAGGCCAGTCATGTATTGTCCTTCGGTTTTTCCCCTGTAAAATGGGTCCAGTCATGTGTGGGGTCGGTGAGAGAAGGAGCGCGAAGGGCCTGGCTCATAGGAAGCTCTGAGTCAGCAGCCAGCACTTCCACTGTTACTCGTTTAAAGCAAACTTGGGAAGCCACTGCGGGGGGGGGGAGCTGGAGGGAGGCGCGGGCCGCGCAGGGCCCAAGCTCAGCCTCCCAAGCCCGTGGGGTCATGGGTGGTGGCTCTGGCGGGTACTCCAGAGGCCACCCCGCGGGAGGTGGGCCAGCTTGCACCCACGCCCCCTTATGCCTGGGGGAGCACAGACTTTAGGCTTGGGGTGTAAGTGTGGCCACATTCTCTTTTGCCAGAGCCTCCGTACTGGGGGACCGATGAGACAAGTGGCCTGCTAGAGAGAGTGGCGGGAGAGAACGCCAGCCTGCCGTGCCCTGCCAGAGGTGAGGTGGGCCTCGGGTGGCCTGGGCAGGGAAGGAGCCCATGGGTTACAGAGGGTTATGGGGTCCTCACTCCCAGCCAGGGCCATGCCTGCATTTCAACCCATTGACAACCCTAGGGGAGGAGATTAGCATCAACTCTTTTATTAGGGGCAGTTTGGGCCCAGAGCAGTGAAGCAGCCTGTCTGAGGCCAGACGGCCAGCAGGTGCCTCAAGACAAGTGGTGTGCTTGGTCCTCAGGGCCTAGTGCCCATGAAGCCCCGGCCCCTGTGCCTGGGGATTGTAGCAGCTGGGACAGAGGAAGGCCTGAGGTTTGGTGCCCCATGCCACTCCCCAAGCCCCAGACATTTTCATACAGGTTGGATTCACATGGTTCTGGGCAAATCATCCCTTTTAGGGTCCACTTTGGGGCAGCTACACAGTGTGGGGCTGAGAGAGCCACCTCTGAGGTCGACGGCCCAGAGCCGAGTGCTGCTGTGGCCCTCCTAGGCTCCTTTTGGGGCCTCAGTTTCCTCATCTGTACAATGGAGTCCTGCCAGTCCCTCCACACAGGGCTGCTGCGAGGGCTTGGGGGATGGGAGTTAAGGTCCCAGGACCGTGCCTGGCGCATAGCAGGTGCCTGGGGAGGTGTGTGGAGCCAATGAGTCTGTCTTTCTGTAAAGCCTCCCTGCCACACCCAGAGGATCCCCTGCCTGCCAGAGCTGCTGTTTATGGCTTTGGCCCTTCTGTGCTGGCGACGGGATGTGCCACCTCCCCTGCACATGAATGGTACTCTAGAAGGGTGGGGTTTCTGGTGTCTGAGGAGCAAGTGGCAGCTTACAGAAAGCCTGGCAGTAGCCAGGAGGGCTGGTCCTAGTCTTGGATGCACTTCCTCATGCCATGGTGCCCAGGGAAGTTCCTGGAACAGGACCGAGGAGAGGCAGGTAGGAGGCAGGCTCTGGGTGAGCGCCCCTGTGCTGCCCACCTGGAGGGCCCAACATCCCTGCCCTCAACCAGGGTGCCACCTTGTGTCAGTCTCTTGTAACAGCAAGCAGCCGCTTTGCATTCTTCCAGAGGTGGGAGGTGAGCGCCGCTGAGCTGGCCTCCTGCCCTTGGTGCCCCACGGCTGCCCACAACCCCCACAGCATCCCCGGTCAGTCAGGGGTTTGTGCCCTGGGCCAAGTCAGCATGATGCAAGCCCGCACGGATAAATTGCCTCGTCCGGCCAGCACATTTCCCCCATGGCCTTCTCCTGAGGAGAAGCAGAAAGCTGCCTGGTGGGTCGTGCTGGGCACTGGCATTCACCAGCCACGGGACCCTGGACTCAGGGGCTAAAGGAGCAAGCACCAGGCCCAGCGCCTGGTCGCCAGAGCTCTGGGGCCTGGGGTGCTGACAGCCACCTCCTCCCGGGGTGGGGTGGGAAGACCAGGAGCTGGCCTGTGATCCTGGATAAGTCCCTGCCCCTCTCTTGGCCCCTGCACAACGGGAATGGGGAGGTGAGTGATTTTCCAGTGACAGCAGACCCTGGACTGTCCCCACCATAGAGTCCAGTGCAGGCTGTGGTTAGGGGTGAGATTTTACATTAAAAACAAGGTTCCAGGATTCAAAACCCAAGGTCTGCCCAGGCCCGCCATTCTGAAGCCCTGGGCCCTGGGCAGTGGGAGGGTGGCTGTGGAGTGGGGCTCTCTGCAGAAGCTTGGAGTGATGTGTGTGTGTGTGTGTGTGTGTGTCCATGCATGAGCATGTCTCCACAGTGGGGACAAGGACCCTGGTAGGTATCCTGGGCAGGCACAGAGGAAACGGCAGAGGACTCCCTGAGCAGGCAGACCTGGGGGCTGAGGTCCCCAGATACGCACAGAGCATGGGCAGGCATGGGTTTTGAGGCAGGGCAGTCCGTGCAGGGTGGAGTGGGCCAGGGGCCTCCTGGAAGAGATGCCGCATCCTGACTCCTGTCCCCGATGTCCACCCAAATGGAATGGTCCATCCCTCCCTCAAAGTGTGTGTGACCCACGCTGCCTGCAGAGGCGGCAGGTAGCGCCTGGGGTATCGCTAACGATAACTGGTGTTAGCGATGTCGGCTGGTCCTGGGGGCCAGTGGGGTGATGAGTGAGCCAAGGGTGCTGTGAGTTGGAGGGGAGCAGCCCCTGCAGGCACCCTCCTACTCAGAGCTAGCAGAAGTAGCAAGGCAGGTGAGGGCCGCCCTTGTCCCAGGGTCACACAGCAAGTCAGCAGGGCCCCAGGGTTCCTGTGACCTGAGTCCTGCTGTGGCCACCAGGCACCACTGTCCCGTGGGCATGTGTGTGGCTTGGAAGCTGGGTCATTCCTGTAACACCGGGCTGAGGACCTGCTGCGTGCCTGACCCCAGTGGGGAAGCTGTTTGTTGCATACTCACTGTGTGCCAGGCCATGGCCCCAATTCCAAAGGAGGTGGGCCTGTTTGAGAAGGGAACAAGGTGAAGTGCTCTGGGACCCCTGGCCCTGGGAGACCATGCAGCCCTGAAACACTGGGTGGGGTGGCTGCCGACATGTGGGCCCCTGGAGCTTTGGGAGAACTACTGCTCCAGTCAGGAGCTAGGGGGTCCTGGAATCACCCTGCCAGGTCAGTGACATTGGCACAAGGGGGCCAGTGTGGGTGTGGAGGGGGAGGGGACCGGATGGTCTGCTCATGTTCCCCTGTGTCCTGCCAGGGATGCCCAAGCCCCAGGTCACATGGCGGAAGGGCCCATCCTCAGAGCCCCTGCGTGACCGGCCGGGCCTGGTGGTGCTGGATGACGGCTCTCTGTTCCTGGCCACAGTCTCTCCCACTGACGGTGGAGACTACTGGTGCCAGGCCACCAACGAGGCGGGCTCTGTGTCCAGAAGAGCTGAACTGGCAGTCTACGGTGAGCAGGGACCCCAGAGCTGGGGGCGGTTCGTACACACCTCCCAGTGGTCCCCCAGGATACCAGGTGTGGGAGCGCCCACTCCCCAGTTCACAGCAAGAAGGCTGCACGTCCCTGCCCCCCAGGGGCCTGAGGCAGGGGTGCGGACTTGAGGGTGTTGAGAGAGTGGTAGGTTGCCTGGTTACCCCCTTCTCCAGAGAGACCCCAAAGGGAAGAACCTGGGATTCCAGGAATGGCTTTTAAAATGGCCTGGGAGGTGAATTCATGGAAAACAGCATTGGTGGCCGTGGAGAGTGAGGGCGCACACACTAAGGTTGCTACAGGGACCTGTCGCTCCTATTCTTCCAGAGCTTCCGTCCCCGCCCCCACCCCATGTGCTGTGTACAGGTGGAGGGAGCCCTTCCCCTTCATGCTGGTGTCATGGAGGGGAGGGGAAGCAGTTTTAATGGCTCCTAATAGGCCACCTTCTGCCTCCCCGGGCCGGCCACCCTGGCTCGCCAGTAATGACTTGCCTGGGAAGTTTATTATGAAGATACACGCAGGTGCCACATTCTCAGAGGTTCTGGCCTGGGGCAGTCTCTCAGGTGACCCTGACAACAGGTTGGGTGTAGAGGCAGATAGATGGGTGGGGGAGGAGCTCCAACATTGCAAAGGTCAATGTTAGAGAGCGTCAGGGCGCCTGGATACCCCCAGGGTGTGTGAGTCCCAGGGCGAGGGACTGGGTCCATAAGGCTCCCAGTGGCCAGATCGGGCTGGGGCGGGCACCCTGGGACCCCAGAACCTGGGGAAGGGTTGGGGTTGGGGCTGCCTGTCCAGGCCAGGAAGAGTGGCCCAGACGGGGGTTCAGGGGGCTGTGGCTCTCTGAGGAGGGTCAGCTTCCCTGCTTTTCTGTGTTCCCCAGTGTCCCCTAGCATCCGGGAGGACAGGCGCAGGGCCAATGTGTCAGGCATGGTGGGGCAGTCACTGACGCTGGAGTGTGACGCAAATGGCTTTCCAGCCCCTGAGATCGTGTGGCTCAAGAATGGGCAGCCGGTGGGTGTCCCCTGGGGTGGCCGAGTCGCTGCTGGGATTCTGATAGGGTATGGGCTTTTTGGACGGGTTCCTGTATATGCCAGGCATGGTGGGGAGATGTGACAGATGTCTTTGGTTATGCCTTGGAGCTCAGGGCCGTGGAGGACTGTGTGGTAGAGAGGGCACGGCACTGTTCTGAAAGTCAGAAGCCCTGGTTTCCCGTCACTTAGCAGTTCCCTGGGCCTCCGTTTCCTCACTGCTGGTGCTGGGGGTGGTCAGACTCTGGCCTCCTCTGCCCAGATCCCAGAGGCAGACAGCCGCCACCTCCTAGATGGGGCTCGGGCCCTCCACTTCCCCAGGATCCAGGAGGGTGATGCTGGCCTCTACTCCTGCCGGGCGGAGAACCAGGCCGGGACGGCTCAGAGAGACTTCAATCTCCTCGTGCTCAGTGAGTGAGGCCTGAGCCCTCCAGTCCCCAGGTGTCTGGCCTTTCAGCCCCTACCCTTTAAGGTAGGCCAGGGGAAGGAGGAGATTTTTGCCTGCTGACAGCCAAGGGCACAGAGGGGCCCATAACAGACCCTGTCCCTGTCCTCAGAGCTATCAGGGCAGATTAGATAATCATGTAATTAACCAAGTAATTACTGTGGGTCATGTGCTGCAAAAGAGCAGTGCAAGCTGTTGATAAAGCACAGAGAAGGGACCAGGGTTTGGCTTGAGTAGAAGGGAAGGGTGCACCAGGCAGGGGGCCAGCATGGGCAAAGGCCCTGTGGTGGGTGGGGCTGGCAGGATTTGAGGAGTTCTCACCACTTACCCTTCTTGCCCCTAGTTCCCCCTTTCGTGCTTGGAGCCGGGGCTGCCCAGGAGGTGCTGGGCCTAGCTAGTGAGGAGGTGGAGCTGGAATGTCGGACCTCAGGGATCCCCACGCCCCAAGTGGAATGGACCAAGGATGGGCAGTGAGTGGCCCCTCTCGCCGATGGCACTGGGGAGGCGCCCAGGCCTGGCCAGGGTGGATGGGGGGATCCGGGGTGGCTGAACTCTGTGGGGGAGCTTGAGAGGCATTCACACGCGCCCAGGGCCCAGGCAGCGGGCAGCATGGGGCACCCCCGCCCCAGCCTGGGATCGCCCTGGTGAGACCCTGCTCTTATCCAGCAGGATTCGCTCAACACTCAGCCAGCCTTGCTTTTCTAACATAAACTGCTTTTTGTGCACATGGTTAAGTTGGCATAACGTGAAGTAACCATGCTGAAGTGCGCAGTTCAGTGGCGTTTTGTGCAGCCGCATGTTGCTCGATGCTCAGCCCCATCCAGTTCCAGAACACTCCGCCACCCACACGCCTGCCCTCCCGCACGTGGCAGACCCCTGTGTGCGGCCTGGCCCTGCCAGCGCCGTGGCCTCACTGATCAAGTGTTCTGACTATCCTTCCAGGCCTGTCCCACTGGGGGACCCTCACGTCCAGCTCCAGGACAGCGGCCAGGTGCTCAGAATCCCCAGCAGTCACCTGGGGGATGAGGGGCGGTACCAGTGCGTGGCCTTCAGCCCAGCCGGCCAGCAAGCCAAGGACTTCCGGCTCAGAGTGCACTGTGAGCCTGGCCCCTTCCTGCCCCCGCCACAGGCTGCCCTCTGCACGGAGGGAGCATGAGGGCAGAAATGGGGGCCCTTGAGGCGTGAGCCCCCAGGCCAATAACACTGGGGGAGGGACGCAGGAATCTCACCCGTTTCCCAAATCCCATTGTCCCCATCCTAGCATCCCAAGTTTTACTGTTCCTGAGACCACTTAGGACGATTGTTTCTTTAACGTCTTCTTTAAATCAGGTCACTTTCCTTCCCCCTGAAGCACACTTATCTAAAAGGATATTTCATGTCTCAACTGTAAGTAGGAAACCAGGGCTACTTGGCCTCGGTGGGAGGAAGCTGGAAATGCAAACATAACGGGAAAGCCAGGCCGAAAATTCCCAGGCATGAGCTGCCCGCAGAGTACCAGTGGGTGGCTGCTCTCTCTCTGGTAAAAAGGGCCGCAAACAAAGTGCTAGAAAGGCACACTACATAGTTGTATCAAACAGCCTTTTCCTTTGCTGTCATCAAGATGGAGGGAGGTTTGGGGAGGTGTAGCCGCTCCTTTACGTGATGCCATGTTACCTCACCTGTGCTCAGGTACCCCGGTGGGTACCACCAGTGGTGTGTGATGCCCCGTGGGAGCCCCCAGTTTAGTTTGGCCACCCATTTTACAGATGGGGATACTGAGGCCCAGAGATGGGAAGTGACCTATGCTGGCTCATACAGTGAGCTAGAGGCAGAGTGGGGCCCCTCCCTGACCTCTGCACCTCCTGCGAAGACGGGGTCTGCTTCCTGTGTCAGCATATCCCGGGAGGCCTCTCCTGTCTGTCCCCAGGCCCCACACTCTTTGTCCCCCTATTCCCAGACTCCTGCAGGAGAAGCCTGTGACATGTGTGGTGCTTTTGGCCCATGGGCACACGCATGCCACTTGAGGGTGGGGCGCCAGCCCCTGGGGGAGACTCCTTGTGACCAGCCCCCCACTGTCCTTAGCATCTCCCACCATCTGGGGCTCCAACGAGACCAGTGAGGTGGCTGTCATGGAGGGCCACCCAGTGCGGTTCCTGTGCGAAGCCCGAGGAGTGCCTGCTCCTGACATCACCTGGTTCAAGGACGGGGCCCCCCTCCCTCCCAGCATCGAGGCCGTCTACACCAGGGGTGGCCGGCAGCTGCAGCTGGGGAGAGCCCAGGGCTCGGATGCCGGCATCTACACCTGCAAGGCCAGCAATTCTGCGGGGACCACAGAGAAGGCCACCAGGCTGGAGGTGTATGGTGAGTGGACAGGGTTGCAGCAGTGAGCGGAGGCCAGCTGGGGTATCAGTGGGAAGGACTGTGGGCCGTGCTGAACTCTGCCAGTCTCCAAAGTCCCTGAGGGGAGTGGCCAGAGGCCCGGGACAGTGAGACTAAAGCGTCCAGGGAGAATGGTCATCTCAGACAGGTGGGGAACCTGAGGTAGGGAGTGGAAGGGCCTGTCTAGGTGCTCAGGTGGAGCCGAATGGGGAATCCAGGTCTGCTCTCCTGGTTTAGTATTTTTGTGAAGCCACATCCAGACCCCCACAACCACTACTGATAATTAACTGCTCTTCATTCATCAGCATCAGCTCCTCACAGCATCGGCTCATGTAACCAGCCAGTTCAGGGGTGCAGGCCCTTGTCTCCCCACTCAGAGATGAGCATAGTGGGCTCTGGTGGTGAGAGGCTGGCCCAGAGTCACCTCACTAGGAGGTGATGGGACCCGTTCATGGGGGGTCTGACTATGAATCTTGCTTGTTGACCTCGGCGTTGGCCCACCTCGAGGCCCTCGGCTCTGAGGGCTTGTGGGGAATCAGGGAGGGTGTGTGTAGGTGGGTAGGGGTGGGGTCGGAACAGGTGACATTTGAGAGGGCAGAGTGCAGGCCCCTGAGGACCCAGCTCAGGAGCTCTGGCCCCCAAAGATGCCAAGGCCTGGGCCCCTGAAGGGAAGCTGGGCTGTGTGAGGTCCTCAGGCAGCCCCCGAGGATGGGCCCGGCTGCCAGCTCAGGAACTCGTATTTGGAGATGGGAGGACCTTTTGAAAATGGAATGGAAAATACACGTTTTTGTAAGATTTTCCAAGGGACTTGTGACCAGAACAAAGCTGAGAAGCACATCCTGGTCATCGTCATGTGTTCCCTGGGGATGCTCGGTGGGCTTGGCAACTTGGAACCCTCCCACTTGGCCATAACGGGCTGAGTTAGGAGCCCCCACAGGCCAGCCCACTGGGGCTCAGGCCCACCCCAGGCGGGGAGAGGCCTTGGAGGAGCTGGGGAGCCCATCCCTTTGAGCTCCGCAGGCACGGAGAGCTGCTGTGTGCAGACACTGGAGACAGACGCAGTTGAGCTGTTGCTCTGCCGGGATGAGCCCAAAGGGGTAGCTGGCGGCAGAGACAGGAGGCAGCAGCGGGGTGGGAATGCCGCCCAGGGGCAGAAGCGAGAGAGAAGGCTTCTGGCCAGGGGCTGGGTGGGGGCTTCTCAGAGGAGGTGATATCTGACCAGGGGGTTTCAGCTGGTGGAGATGAGGGAGGTGGCGTCACACAGGGTGGGGTTGGCAGGACTGCTGGGCGGACAGCAGGCTGGTGCCCTGGGCCCTAAGCAGCCCCCATGTCTCTTCCCTAGTCCCACCTACTATTGAGGGCACTGGTGGAGGGCCTCATAGGGTGAAGGCCATAGCCGGGAGGCCCTTGGCACTGGAGTGTGTGGTCAGAGGCCACCCGCCCCCAACCCTCTCCTGGCACCACGAGGGGCTGCCGGTGGTGGAGAGCAACGGGACGTGGCTGGAGGCCGGTGGCAGCGTGCTGAGCCTGGAGAGCCTGGGGGCGGCATCTGGAGGCCTGTACAGCTGTGTGGCCAGTGGGCCCGCTGGGGAAGCCGTGCGGCAGTACTCCGTGGAGGTGCAGGGTGAGCCAGGCCCGCCCCGCCCCGTCACCTGGGCCGCGTGGCCCTTCGCCCACACCGACTGGGTCCGAGTCCCTGAGGCTCAGAGCTGGGTTGCGGGAGCTCTTCCATTCAGCAGACATTACTCAGGCACCAGCTTGGGGCCAGCCCCACGTGGTTGGGGAGGAAGCGGGGAATGAAGCAGATGGCCTCTTGAGCCCTTGGGCGGTGGGGAGTCAGGGCTTGGATAAACAGGCCAAGCCTGTAGGGAGGCCAGGAGGCCCTCCTACTGCCTCGGGTGGTCCCAGAGTGCTTCCTGGAGGAGGGGCCACGTGTAGAGGGGACTTGCTCTGGAGACTTGGTAGGGCATTAGGCCAGGATTTGCTCAGCTCCAAACACCCAGTTGTGGGTCCTGCCTGCAGTCCCTCCGCAGCTCCTGGTGGCTGAAGGCTTGGGACAGGTGACCACCCTGGTGGGACAGACCCTGGAACTTCCCTGCCAGGCCTCAGGAGCTCCCGTGCCCACAATCCAGTGAGTATGGGGTGGTAGGGGCCAGGGCAGGGGTGGGGTACTAGCATAGAGCACATGCGCTGGGGGTGGGGTGGTGGGCGACCTCCCCTTTCCCAGGCCTATGAAGGAGGCTGTGGAGCCAGGGATGTGCAAGCAGGTGGAAGATGCTACTAGGCCTCCTGGCTTGTCTTGCCCTCCCTGGTCTCAGGCTGACCTGCCCCCTCAACACCCACCCTAGGTGGCTGCAGAACGGCCACCCAGCTGAGGAGCTGTCTGGGGTGCGGGTGGCCTCGCAGGGGGCTACCCTGCACATCGACCACGTGGAGCTGGGCCACGCGGGCCTCTTTGCCTGCCAGGCCACGAACGAGGCAGGCACTGCTGCGGCCGAGGTGGAGCTGTCTGTGCACGGTGAGCGCCACGGGCAGCCCAAGATGCAGGGCTGGGTGGGGCCCAAGGCTGTGGCCGTCTGCACCTTTGACAGGTGGACCTAGGTGAGGCAGGGGACTGGTGTCTCTGGACAGCATGTCTAGGCTAGACCGTCCAGCTCCCCAAAAAGTTGTGGGTGTGAGAGGCTGACTTCAGCTGCTTCCCATACTTGGGAGATGATCCAACCACAGGCCGTTGCTCTCCCCACCCCCTGCCTTCCCCCTCCTCACCCACTCTTTTCATGCTGACCCTTCTGACCTTTGCTCAGTTCTCTAAGTGCATCAGCTCTCTCACCTCTGAGCCTGCAAATGCTGTTCCCTCTGCCTGGAATAGTCTCCCTCTTCCTCTTGGCCTGCCTAGCTCCTCCTTATCTTTTAGGTCTGTCCCAAAATATGCCTTCCTCCAAGAAGCCCTCCTTGATTGGACAGTGGTCTCACTTCCACTGCCTCTCTTGGCCATAACTGACCACCTACTGTATGGGATTACTCATTTGGTTGTCTCCCTCCCTTGCTCAGCTCTGGGAGCTCTAAGAGGGCAGCACGGTGGCCACTTCTCTACTGTGTCCCTGTGCCTAGTAGATGTTCAATGCACAGATGGATAGGATGGATGGATGATGGCTAGATAGATAGGAGGATGGGTGATGGATGACATGGATGGATAAATGATGGAGGATGTATGTGTGGATGATGGGTGATGATGGCTATATGATGGATGGAAGGACAAATAGATGATAGAGGGATGGACAGATGGGAGAACTTTTAAAAAGAAATACTTGCTCCACTGGCTCCCAGCCTGATACTCTTCCCCCTAAGCCTGGTGTCTCGGGGATTGAGTGGGCAAAGCTAGAGGCCAGCCAGCCCTGCAAGACTGCCCCCTACTTCCCAGGCATTGAGTGGGTAGCTGGGCCCCCCTGCACCATCCTCACCCGGGCCCTCTCTGCCTCTCCCTTGGCCAGAGCTCCCATCGGTGACCATCACTGGGGGTGAGAACATCACAGCCCCTTTCCTGCAGCCTGTGACCCTCCAGTGTGTAGGTACTGGGGTGCCCACACCGAGCCTCCACTGGTGGAAGGATGGGGTGGCCCTGGTGGCCTCGAGAGGGAACCTGCAGGTATGTGCAGGGGCCCCATGGCTGGTGGGGCAACTGGGTGCACGTGGAGGGGCTGCTTTTTAGGGGCCCTGCAGACCCCAAGTGGGGCTCTGGCAGCCTCGGGGCAGGACGAGCACTGGGAATGCTCAGTAGACTGGGTGCTGGACCTGAGGAGGGGGTGGGGCCCTGAGTCTGTTCCAGGGCTCAGAGCTCCAGGTGTCGGGAAGAAAGTGGGAGGAAGGGGACTATCGGAAGATCAGAGGGGTCCCTGGTATCTCTCCATGTGACTCGGCTCCACCCCTGGCACCACACTGCCTCCAGGCCTTGCATCCCCTGCCCCTGGGGCCTGCCACAGCCTGGCTGCTCAGCACGTCCCAGCACCTGTCTGACTGCCCTCCAGTCCCAGGCTCTGGGCCCCCACCCACATCCCCACGGCTTACATGCCGCGCCCCTCCCTCCCCAGATCGAGAAGGTGGACCTGAAGGATGAAGGCGTCTACACTTGTGCCGCCACTAACCTGGCCGGGGAGAGCAAGAGGACTGTGGCTCTCAAGGTTTTGGGTGAGGACGGGGGTGCTGGATGGAGGGTAATCCCTTGAGGGCCCTCAAGGCTGCTGTGGGGGCTGTCAGGGAGGGAGACAGGGTTTAACACTCCTAGTACGTCCTTGTCTGCATTCATGTTATGTCTGCTTGTTTTGTTCTCTCGGGGGGTTATTTACATCCTCGCATGAGTGGGCAGACCCCTGCACTTGCCACTGTGGCTGCCGGGGTTCCACTCCACTGGGCCAGATGTCGACTGTTCTTGGAGGGCTGGGCACAGGGGTCATACTTGTACAATTCTAGTAAAGGTCGTGGCCCAATGTCTGTTCCTGTGCTTGGTTCAGTCCCTGATCAGAAGACAGGAGCTGTTTGGGGCTCTTGCTGCCCAGGACCTTTGGGGTAGGCTGGAGAGGGACGTTAGGGGCAGGGAGATGAGCTGCCAGGTGCCCCCCCACAATCCCAAGCCGGGGCTTTCCTTGTCTCCCGCAGTGCCCCCCAACATTGAGCCAGGCCCACTCAGCAAAGCAGTGCTGGAAAATGCCTCAGTAACCCTGGAGTGTCTGGCTTCGGGTGTGCCACCTCCTGGTAAGACCCCTGCTCTCGGCTGGAAGCCCCCTCCAGCTGGCCCCTGGCCCCTAAATAATGAGGCAGGCCAGTTGCCCCAGGTACTGCTCAGGCTGTGGACAAAATGGGGAGAAATCAGTAGGCCCTTCTCCTATTTCTCCAATTTTCCTTTCTTCTCCATAGCTGTTTACCCAATACCCATTACATGCCAGTCTGCCCATCTGCCAGGGCCCAGAGCCTTCGCGTTGGGATCTGAAACAAATACGCAAGGCTTCTGTTCAGGTTGCAAGTTCACGGGGCTGCCCGGGGGCTGGGAGTGGGGACCAGGGCCTCCAAGCTGCCGCCTCTTTGGGCCCCTAGACCAGCAGGTGAGGAAAGGGCTGGGAGCTTGGGGGTAGGCATGAGCATTCAGCANCCACATCCCCACGGCTTACATGCCGCGCCCCTCCCTCCCCAGATCGAGAAGGTGGACCTGAAGGATGAAGGCGTCTACACTTGTGCCGCCACTAACCTGGCCGGGGAGAGCAAGAGGACTGTGGCTCTCAAGGTTTTGGGTGAGGACGGGGGTGCTGGATGGAGGGTAATCCCTTGAGGGCCCTCAGGGCTGCTGTGGGGGCTGTCAGGGAGGGAGACAGGGTTTAACACTCCTAGTACGTCCTTGTCTGCATTCATGTTATGTCTGCTTGTTTTGTTCTCTCGGGGGGTTATTTACATCCTCGCATGAGTGGGCAGACCCCTGCACTTGCCACTGTGGCTGCCGGGGTTCCACTCCACTGGGCCAGATGTCGACTGTTCTTGGAGGGCTGGGCACAGGGGTCATACTTGTACAATTCTAGTAAAGGTCGTGGCCCAATGTCTGTTCCTGTGCTTGGTTCAGTCCCTGATCAGAAGACAGGAGCTGTTTGGGGCTCTTGCTGCCCAGGACCTTTGGGGTAGGCTGGAGAGGGACATTAGGGGCAGGGAGATGAGCTGCCAGGTGCCCCCCCACAATCCCAAGCCGGGGCTTTCCTTGTCTCCCGCAGTGCCCCCCAACATTGAGCCAGGCCCACTCAGCAAAGCAGTGCTGGAAAATGCCTCAGTAACCCTGGAGTGTCTGGCTTCGGGTGTGCCACCTCCTGGTAAGACCCCTGCTCTCGGCTGGAAGCCCCCTCCAGCTGGCCCCTGGCCCCTAAATAATGAGGCAGGCCAGTTGCCCCAGGTACTGCTCAGGCTGTGGACAAAATGGGGAGAAATCAGTAGGCCCTTCTCCTATTTCTCCAATTTTCCTTTCTTCTCCATAGCTGTTTACCCAATACCCATTACATGCCAGTCTGCCCATCTGCCAGGGCCCAGAGCCTTCGCGTTGGGGTCTGAAACAAATACGCAAGGCTTCTGTTCAGGTTGCAAGTTCACGGGGCTGCCCGGGGGCTGGGAGTGGGGACCAGGGCCTCCAAGCTGCCGCCTCTTTGGGCCCCTAGACCAGCAGGTGAGGAAAGGGCTGGGAGCTTGGGGTTAGGCATGAGCATTCAGCAGACGGGGTGGGCCCAGGGGAGGGTCCGTCTCCTGTCCCCCACCTCCTATCCACTCTGCTTTGCTGGGGTGGCGACCAGAGGTATTGTCACCCTTCTTGTGGGGTTTTGGGGTGGGCCCTGGCGGGTGTGAGGGACCTGAAGGTACAACTGGCCCACATTCATGAGGTGGCTGCTTTGAGGGGTGCCGTGTCCTCTTCCAGAGCTCTGCCCTGTGAGGGCTCTCCTGGCCAGGGAGGCGGTTCTGGGTCTGGGAGGGCTTTGGCCCCCCTTTCCTCCGACTGCCCCAGCCTGCATCCGGTGGGCTTCCTCCCTGCCTTTGGTCCTGTCTCAGACAACAGTGCCTTTCCTGGAGAGCTGGCTTTGTCCAGTGCCTGAAATAAAGGCCTGCCATGTGGCTACCAGGGAAGCACCTCTTGGATGCACAGTCCGAAGGGCTGGCATAGCCCTTTACATCTCTCTTCTCTTCCCCAGATGTTTCTTGGTTCAAGGGCCGCCAGTCCATTTCTTCCCAGAAGGGAGTGGTGGTGTCAGCTGACGGGAGAGCTCTCCACGTCGCGCGAGCCCAGTTTTCTGATTCGGGGAGCTACCGCTGTGTGGCCTCCAATGTGGCGGGCAGCACAGAGCGGCAGTATGGTCTGCGGGTCAATGGTGAGCTGCCCTGGGACCAAAGGGTCCT